GGGAGGCTCTGTTAGTAACACTGCTCGTCTAGTCAGAATGTGCACAGAGGAAAACACTGCTGCTTGCCTTCTGGCTACAATGTCTTATTATCTGGGGTCTTTGTGATGTCTCCTGTGGAACCCAAGGCAGGCTCCGTTGGGAGGGAGGGTAGACAATGTTCTGAGGCTGGAGAGGCTAGACCTTTACCCATGAAAGACTGATGTTCCAGAGTCACCAGCTTCCTTCTGTGGGTTGTGCCTAACTCTCCTGAGAACCTAAGGCCCCTCTCAGAAGACCTCTGGCAACCTTGTTGAGTCTATTCAACCATTGTTGAATAGAGTCACCATTCACAATGCCCTCTTCCTTCTGGGTCTCTGTAGCCCAGGCTGGCCTCCTGTCTCAGCCTCCTGAGAGCTGGGACTGTAGGCTCATGCCATCACACCTACTTTTTCATGATTTTCAACAGGAGGTTCATAAAAACGAGGAGTGGGGGAGCTAGGAAGACGTCAATGCCACCCAGAGTGAAACCCATCCTCCTCCCCAGGCTTCCCTTTCTCTCACCCACCAGGGCAGGAGAGAGCCATGCACTATTCGTTCCAAATAATTAGAAAGTGTGTCAGGCTCTCCCAGACAAGAACTAGAAACATGTTTTCAGTTGTCACCTCCCAATGTGACTAAAGCAGTCAGGTCTTTAGTCAATGTTCACTGACGAGCACTCATGGAGGGAGTACCCAATTCCATTCGCAGGCCCAGGCCTCTGACAAGACCGCGCAGATGGGAGACAGAATAAGAGGCTAGTGGGAAGGCCCAAGGCTGTGGAATTTTCAGCTTCCTTCCCCACTGAGCACAGTGAAGACAGGTGGCTTCTGCCTAAGGCACTTGGGAAGCCAGAGCAACATTGTGACAGTAGCAACAGCTTCAGAACCTTAGGGCACTGGAGGGAAGGACAGAATGTAACAAGTGATGCTCTAAAAGGCTCCTTTGCAAGGACGCTGTTTTGTGACGGGACCTCATGGAGCACCAGAGGCTGCAAGGCAACCCTAGATGAACCATCCTTTCTACAGAGCCTCTACCCACAAACAGGTGGGCTAGGGCTCACCAGACGCCAGAGTGACATGTCTACTGACTCCCACCTAACCTATAGCAGTTGCCTCTAATGGGCCAGCTCCCTGTTCCTTCAGAGGTCCTGTGCTTGGAAGCTAAAAGAAATGATGGAAGGCTAGAGGCAAAATGTGGTGAAAATGATTTGGCTCAACAATGGAGAAACATAGCCACCACCTTGTAAAAAACCCTTCTTCTTTATTTAGACAAAAAGGGGGAAATGTGGACTATTCCTTTACACTGTGTAAATATATGTCACTGTCATTGGCTTAATAAAGAAGCTGACTGGCCTATAGCTAGGCAGGATAAAGTTAGGTGGGTGAACCAGACTAAGAGGACACTGAGAAGAAGGGGAGGAGTCTCAGGGTCATGAGGAGACACAGAGAAGGAAGATGAACGTGCCTTGCCGAAAGAAGCTGGGGTGGGGACATTTCCAAAAGTGAGTGTGTCAGAGCCTTGAAGAGGTTGGGACCGTTTTGTCACACTCACTGTACTGACAAGAAGCTGTTATGGAAAGATCCAAGTCCTGCCATCTCACCTGGGCACTTTCCCCTGAAGTCTCAGCTCCCAAGGTGGAGAAAGTTGGCAGGCAGAGAGGGCTGCATTTTGGGACAGGAACAATCAACTCCTGTCCATTTGTCTGAAGGACAAAGAAAAAGCATTTATACCACTTTCCTCATTAAGCCCCTAGTGGAGTCTAAACTACATTAAGAGCCCATTTTCCCTATTTGCTCTGATGTACCCAGACAGTAATGGTTAGAAACAATTGACTCTCAGCAAAGGGACCGATAATGCCAAGGTAAATGGGAGGCAGCTGATAACTTAATGGGTCTCTCCCTCCTCTCCCAAAATTCCTCAAATAAAACACCTTTTCTGCTACCCTTAGAAGCAAATCAACAAGTGTAATATTTCTATTAATGGCTAATTCACTCAGGTATGGTAGACAACAAACAGTCAAACAAATTATTCTGGATCTGAATCAGATTAAACATAGGAGCCCCTTCCTGGATACTCAGCGAGTAGTGGGGCAGGGGAGTGGACTCGTTTATTTTTACACTGTTACTTACTATGGAGATGTGCGCACACACATCATGACATACATGTGAGGGTCAGGGAACAACCCTGTGGTGTCGGGTTCTCTTCCAACTTTTATGGGGACTCCAGGGATCAAATTCAGGTCATGCTTTCGTGGCAAGTGCGTTCACCTGCCAAGCTAGGTTGCCAGCCAAAAGCTGCATTTGGGAACAACATTCTTGCTCGGTTGCTTTTTCTCAGTCCTGATTTGCCTTCAGGAGATTTCTATAGGACCCGGATAACTGTGCCTCAGCTCTTTGTTCCAAATCTGATCCTTGCTAGTAACTCCAGAGCTCTCCTTCAGGGCCGCTGAGAATTTCACATGGGTGGCAACCTGAGCCAGCAGGTCAGCTCCCAAGGGCTCTCAAGACTAAGTTGCAAGAAGTTCTCCTCACAAGCAAGTACCCTATAACCCCCTGCACTCAGCAACAAGGGCCGATGGCTCACCTCCTGCCCTTCCTGTCCTTCCACTAAAAGCGGATGCTGAGAGCTGCTCCTATTCTTCTCTTCTCGGGCCCCGCCACAGGCAAAGCTCGTTTTCACTTGTGGCTCTTCCGAAACTGAGCCAGAGACCACAATCTCCCTGATTCTCTGCTGGAGCTGAACCCCATTCAGCCGAGAGGCCACAGTGCAGCATGCAACGCCTTCCTGTCCACCTTTCACCCGGCTCCTTCTTCAGGTTCTGGATACTGCCAGTTCTGCCTTCCGACACCAAGGCAAGAGTCTCTGACGGGGATTGTGAATGTGAATCAGTTGCTGAGCCCACTCAGCCTTCAAGCTCAGTGAAAGCAAATTCTAGCACACCGATGAGGAAGATGTGAAGGGGAACAGGCCGCTCCAGATTCCCTAAACATACTTGCCCCACTCCACCCTGACTCATCCTAATCTGACTAAGAATGGCTGCTTAATATAAACAGGACTTTTAAAACCAACCAAGATAAAGCCCAGGCTAAACAGAGGAGAGAGGAAGTAAGTATTATATATGAAGAGGATGGGGGTACTTAAGGAATCAAACTGGAGCTGTTTTGAATAAATTTTCCACCTTGAATAGGGGTCAAATAAAGTAAGTTCCCAAGACCTCCCCAGACCCCCCTGGGTAACTGGCATCACTAGCACCCTGAATGGCCAGCTGAGACGTGAAGGGTGGGCAAGCTCTCCCGCCAACACTTGAGTGAGCCAATGAGAACAGGAGAAGTGTACCACAGAACAATGTTCCTAGGAAAGTCCCTAATGTTTGGATCTTGATGGGGGGGGGAGGGGATGGAACTGTAACTTGGCACAGATATTGATGTTTATTCTGCTTAAATACTTGCTGAAATGAACATCTGGGGATGCAGTCAGCTCCCGAGTGTGTAGCATTGTCCCTGACCAGACAGTTTCTGCCGTGCTGCGGGTAATAAGATCTTGCTTTGTGTGACCTCTTGCGTGGGCTTGGGTTGTTTCGGAGCCTTGGACCCACAGCAGTCTTAGGAGATAGGAGGTGAGTACCATAAGTGATGAGGGTAGGAGAAGGGTACAACAGAGATGAGTGCCACATAGGATGGGGAACTGCCAAGGTGGGGTGATGGCTAATCTTGGTTGTCCACTTGACTGGATCTAGAATGAACCAAAACTCAAACTGCTGGACACTCCTGTGAGGGATTTTCTTTTTTTTTTTTCGAGACAGGGTTTCTCTGTGTAGTTTTGGTGCCTGTCCTGGATCTCACTCTGTAGCCCAGGCTGGCCTCGAACTCACAGAGATCCGCCTGGCTCTGCCTCCTGAGTGCTGGGATTAAAGGCGTGCGCCACCACCGCCCGGCAGTGAGGGATTTTCTTGATCAGATTATGAAGCGGGAGGACACACCTTCAGTGCGGGTGGCACCGGCTGGCGGCAGCCCAGACAAGAAGGACACAGAGGAAGAACACTTTGTTGCCTCCACTCTCTCTGGCAAGTTCACCTACCCTGTTGCTGCTGCATTCCTTTGCTGACATTAGAACCAGCTTCTTCGGCCATCCGTGGAACTGAAGAGCAACAGCATTCCAGGAGTCCTCCAGGCCTTCAGCACCAGATTAGGACTGCGGGGACATCCAGCCTCTGGGGCTCAGCAACAACCGGATCCTCAGCCTCAGTGTGAGACTGTTGGACTACCCAGGCCATGCTGTATAAGTCACGCTAATAAATCCTCTTTAGATACTCATTCGGCTGGCCTGTTCCTTTAGGGAACCCCAACTAATGCAGGCAGAAAGAGAAAGGCGTCAAAGCCCCCAGGTCCTGTGGTCCAAAACCACAGAAGCCTCCTGGTAGCTATTCCTTCCAAAGTTAGGAGTCAGTCCCCAACACAGGTAGCAATGATCCAATAAGGAATACAAATAGCTTGCATACTCAAGATATTTGCCTTGCTGGGAGGTGGTGGCACATGCCTTTGATCCCAGCACTCAGGAGGTAGAGGCAGATGGACTTCTGTGAGTTCAAGGACAGCCTGGTCTACAGAGTGAGTTCCAGGACAGCCGGGGCTACAAGGAGACCCTGTCTTGACAAACAACAAGCAAACAAACAAAAGGTATTTGCCTACCTTCCTTATGAACTTTGTAACTCCGAGGAAGTGGGGATCAAAATCAGGGTTTTACCCATGTGAGACAAGCCCTCTGCCCTGAGCTACCTTCCCAAGTCTACTTTACATGATAACGTTTGGAGAGAGGGAGAGAGACCAGGTATGCAATAAGATCTCTACAAGAAGGCGAGCCGGGCAGTGGTGGCGCACCTCTGTGAGTTCGAGGCCAGCCTGGTGTACAGAGCGAGATCGAGGACAGGCACCAAAACTACACGGAGAAACCCTGTCTCAAAGAACCAAAAAAAACAAAAAAAGAATGTGAAAAATATTTATTCTGTTTTAAACCAGGGGATTCACATGAAACTACTAGCATCACTCATTTACTTATGATTGGGCAGGGGGCAGAAGGGAAGGGTGGAAAGTCACAGAACAGAAGCCAGGAGTCTCTGTGACAGGAGCACTAGGTAGCTCCTCACTGAGTGAGCCCAGGCCAAGTCTGGAGTGCCCAATACTTGTATGTGGCAGAGAAGTACACAAGGCCATCGCTGTTATTCTCACCACCAGAAGCATCCTCTTTTTTTTTTGGTTTTTCGAGACAGGGTTTCCCTGTGTAGCTTTGCGCCTTTCCTGGAACTCGCTCTGTAGACCAGGCTGGCCTCCAACTCACAGAGATCCACCTGCCTCTGCCTCCCAAGTGCTGAGACTAAAGGCGTGAACCACCACTGCCCGGCATCCATCCTCCTTTTATAAGGCGGAGTATCTCTGAGACATTTCCACGGAGAAGCCTCAGTTCACTTTAAGCAGGAAAGCCAAAGGTGTGAGACTCCTCAAAAGCCTTCCTGGGTAAAGTGGGCAGTCCGCCCACTGTGGATGCAATCCAGGGTAAGTGCCGGGGGCCATGGCTGTTCTCACTGGGCTTCATCGAGCTGACCAAGAGGCTGCACACTGTGGAGGGCCTGGATCAAAACGCTGACAGCGGGGAAGGCAGGTCTCGGTAATGAGAAAGTGCATGGTTACTTCTAGAAACCAGAAGGCGGGGCGTGGGAAGGAGCCCTGAGCCGCTGTCCAGCTGGCCATCTTTTAACAGAATGGGCTGTCACAGGAGCATTTGGTGGACAGCATGGGGAGAGGCAAGCTGAGAGAAGGAGCCTCAGTCAGCTGCAGAGCCTCTCTCTACCTGGGTGTAAGGATCTTGTGGTCCTGCTCCCATAGACATGGAAGTCACAGGCTGTTGGTGCCAGAAGCAGAAAACAGATACCGTGGGTGTGGACATGACCAGTCCTGGCCTGCAATCAAGGAGGCTGGACTGAGCGTGGCGGCATCATAGTCATGTGGGCTTGTTGAAAAGCTCATCCCTGAGCTCGTCCCCCAAACAGATTCTGAAGGTGTGGAGTAGATCCCGGGAATCTTCATTTCTGAAGATCCTGCTACCCAGGAGACTCCGAGGAAGGCAGTCCGAGGACCACATTCTAAGTTGGGATGAAGTGGGCATTTGGTGACAGGGCTCTAGGGAAAAGATGGGCATGTCAGTAAAGAAAAAGAGCCTGTGAGCTCTGATGGCCGTTCCTGTGTGCTCAAAAGGTCAGCAGGAGGACACAGGAGAAGAGAGCTGCTTTCTGTGTTCTGCCGGAACTACTCATTTTTCCGAGCTAGCCTGACCCAGCCTTTCAAAAACACAATTGAAGCTCTACTTTTAGAAGGCCTCTAGATGCCCAGGGCACCTTACATTTAGATACTGTCCTTGAATACACACAGAAGCCACTGGCCCTATACCCCACCCCAGCTACTCAGGAAACAAGAGGATCACAAGTATTTTTTTGAGACCGGGTTTCTCTGTTTAGCCCTGGCTGTCCTGGAACTCACCCTGTAGACCAGACTGTCCCTGAATTCACAGAGATCCACCTGCTTCTGCCTCCTGAGTGCTGGGATTAAAGGTGTGCCAGACCACCACCACCCAGCTGAGGATCACAAGTTTAAGGCCAATCTAAGCAACTTAATAAGGCCTTGTTTCAAAATAAAACTCTTATAAAGGGCTGGAGGTGTAGCTCAGGGTTACAGCATGTGCACAGCTCTCCAGTACCACGAAAGAACAAAAACCATGTGTCATACTGTACAACTGACTCTTGACATTTGGGCCTCTTGGTATTAGCTCCAAGCAAATGCTTTTAAATGATGCACTTGGGGCTGGCAACATGGCTCAGCAAATTGAAACACTTGCCACACAAGCCTAACAACCTGAATTCAATCCCTGGATCTCACAGTGGAAGGAGAAAAGCAACTCCTAAGAGTTGTCCTGATTCCCATCAGCATCAGGGCATGTGAGTGTCACACTTACGCACATATACATATAATTAAAACAAAGGTAAACGTATGATTTTTGTTGTTGTTTGCTTGCCTTTTCATTTTGAGACAGAGTCTCACTCTGTAGATCAGGTTGGCCTTGAACTCACAGACATCTACCTGCCTCTGCCTCCTAAGTGTACGTACTGGGATTAAGGATGTGTGCTGCCACTCCTGGCCCAATGCATGCTCTTTAATGCATAGTACTAGTTGCCCTTGCTGGCCCTCTAGAGGCAAATATGGAAGATCTGGGGATATTGTGCCAGAGGATTATTAAATATTGAGAGTCAAGATAAAGTTTGTGCATACAGTGCCAAAGGGCAACCATATCAAAAAGAGAATTAAAAGGGAAATAGAAAACTATTTTATAACCCAGAGAAAGGCCTGATGATCTCACCTGCAAGAACAGCATGCAGGATGAAGGAAGCCGGAAGCCTGGCTTAGGGGGTAGCCTGGAGACCCACACCTCCAGGCCTACCACTCTTGCTCTGGGCTGTAATACAGTTGTACTGACCAGTACTGGAAAAAAATGGGCCAGTTAAGAGGGTTTGACTCTGGCCGGGCGGTGGTGGCGCAAGCCTTTAATTCCAGCACTCGGGAGGCAGAGCCAGGTGGATCTCTGTGAGTTCGAGGCCAGCCTGGGCTACAAAGTAAGTTCCAGGACAGGCTCCAAAAGCTACACAAAGAAACCCTGTCTCGAAAAACAAAACAAACAAACAACAACAGCAATAACAAAAAAAAGAGAGAGAGAAGGTTTGACTCTGATTCTTGCCATATCAATTTGTCCTGTTTTATTTTAAGAATAAAAAAAAGATATCTATGTAATTGTGGTTATCACTGTGTGACTTCCATGGAAAAATTAAATAAAGCTGGATGTCGGCACCCCTTAAAGGACAAAGTAGCTATCACTGGACACCAAAGGTGTCCTCTTTCAAGTGGCTAGATCTAAAGCCGTCGACAGTTTCCATACACTCTACAATTAGTAAATCCTGAGTCCTATTCTGGAACATGAGCTGCTCTGGGAGGTACCATGGCAAAGATCCTCCCTAACTCCTTCTGGGCAATGTGATCCGTATCTCTTGGTTTCATCATTGTGAGGGCTGGGAATATGGATATAGTTCAGTAGGAGAGAGCTTGCTTAGCATGAATGAGGCCCTGGGTTCAATCCCTAGGACTGTAAACATTATTTCAAATATTTCAAAAATATTTCTCACTGAGTAGGGTTTTTCTTCTCTAAAAACTAAAACCACACCACCAACACAGGGAAAGCCACAATTCTTAGGCCACACTTTGTTCTTGTTTGGTGTGTAAGTTCAGGGGCTCCTTACTTCTTTTATAGAACCTTGTGCGGGGGGTCAATGGCTACATTGCTTTTTCTTGGCCAAATGATGATTAACTATTAACATCTAAGACAGAGTGTGTTAGAAGATGTAACTTCAAAGGTCAATCCCACGCAGAAGGAATTAATTCATTAACAAAATGGGCTGTTGTTCTTCATGTAAAGGGACATTCCTCCTTTGGTTGGAAGACTTCGACTGGGTGGCATCTCCTCTGCCATCTCACTTCCAGGGTGACTCTCACTCCACAGCAGGACTTTTACAGAGCAACACATGTTGTCCAAGAACCATTCCATGGTGGGTCCACGCACCAAGTGTCAAAGCATCATCAAAGTCATGTCATTTTGTCATGGAGTCTGGATCTACCCAACTGAGTCCTGAGAAAGTGGATCAGTTTGGTCTCTGTGAAGAACGCTGTCCCAAGGGTCACTCCTAAGCAGATGGTCCCCACAGCAATGTGTGCCAGCCTAGCAGGCCAGCCCTGCTCACAGCAGAGGAATGCCTGGAGAGAGAAACTAGTGTCACTGCCAGGCAAATCAGGGAAAAGTTATTGTCCAGCTTCTTTTTTTAGGTTTATTTTATGTGTACAAACATATGTGCATATGTGCACTGCGTGTGTGCCTCATGCCTTTAGAGAGACCAGGAAAGGCATCAGAACCCCTAGAACTGAAGTTACAGGTGGTCGTGAGCCACCATATGGGTGCTGGGAACTGAACCTGGGTCCTCAGGATGAACAGTAAGCGCTCTTATTCACTGAGCTACGTCTCCAGCCCTACCATCCGGCTTCTAAGTCAGATTAAAGGCACAGTGATGAGACTAGGGGTTGAGTACTGCCCTAGAGGTCTGGAGAAGCTGGAGGAGACAAACATTTGATCAACCTGTTCAGGCTGGGTGGAAGAGGGAAGTCCAGAGGGAAGACCACTGACAGCCTGCAGAAGGCTGAGGGAGGAAGTCTTACCTCTGAAACACTAGTAATCCCACCACTGAGGGCGAACACCCCGAGGAGAGCTGGGGACAGGTGCAGGCCAGCCAGCGGTCTGTGGGGGCTCCTCTGGAAGTAGTGATGGATGAAGTACAGGCTCTGTGTGATCCGAATGCCCATGTTAAAGCAGTTGGCCAAGATGAAGCCCACACTGCCACACCAGCTGGTCAGGAGGTAGGATAAGACCAAAAACGAGGAAGACAGTGCCAGCATGGTGAAGTTGTACCTGGGAGACAAGCAAAGTGAGGAGGTGAGTATCTTGTCCCGAGACAAGAATAGTACACAAAAACGGTGGCCATATCAACTCACAGAAAGATCTGAGCCCACATCACTCCAAATGAACTCCCATAATCCAATGTCTTGTGTGCTGTGGGAAGGGATGGTTGGTTCAGTTCTTGTGCCAGTTAAACCCAGGGCCTTACATACGCCAGGCACGTTCCTTTTCTTTAGACACGGGGTATCACTTTGTAGCCCAGGCTGGCTTTGAACCTCCAGGGTACGAGGATTACAGACCTGAACTACACTATTTGGCTCGGCCCTTGGCTGCTGCTGTTGTTGTTTTGTTTTGAACAGAGTGTCCCTATGGAGTCTAGGCTCACCTCTAACTTACTGTGCAGCTCAGGCTGGCCGGCCTTCAGGAATGTCAATCTGTCTGTCTGTGTGTCTGTATGGCCTTCAGGAATCTCAATCTCTGACTCTCTGTCTCTGTCTGTCTGTCTCTCCTTCAGGAATCTCAATCTCTGACTCTGTTTATCTGGCCTTCAGGAATCTCAATCTCTGATTCTCTCTGTCTCTGTCTGTCTGTCCTTCAGGAATAGCAATGTCTGACTCTCTCTGTCTGTGTGTGTTTCTCTGAGGTGCTCAGGATCAAACCCAGGGCTCTGCACAAGCTAAGCAAGCATTCTTTTTTGTTTGTTTGTCTTTTGTTTTTGTTTTTGGAGACAGGGTTTCTCTGTGTTGTAGCTCTGGCTACAACTGGAACTCGCTTTGTAGACCATGCTGGCCTCGAACTCACAGAGATCTACCTCCCTCTGCCTCCTGAGTGTTGAGATTTAAGGTGTGCGCCACTACCACTCTGCTAGGCAAGCATTCTTTACTGAGCAACATCTGCAACCCTCGGGCCTTAAACTCATAATCTTCCTGCCTCAGCCTCCCAAGAGCTAAGGTTACAAGGTGTGTGCTTCCATGACTAGCCATAACCCATGTTTTTGTAACACTGAATACTACACAGTTAACATGGAAATGTGCTGTGGGATGTTCTGTATGGCAAATGTGTTGCTGATTAGTCAATAAATAAAACACTGATTGGCCATTGGCTAGGCAGGAAGTGTAGGCTGGACAAGGAGGAGAATAAAGCTGGGAAGTGGAAGGCTGAGTCAGAGAGACACTGCCAACCGCCACGATGAGAAACAGCATGTGAAGATGCCGGTAAGCCACGAGCCACGTGGCAAGGTATAGATTAATAGAAATGTATTAATTTAAGCTATAAGAACAGTTAGCAAGAAGCCTGCCATGGCCATACAGTTTGTAACCAATATAAGTCTCTGTGTTTACTTGGTCGGGTCTGAGTGGCTGTGGGACTGGCAGGTGACAGAGATTTGTCCTGACTGTGGGCCAGGCAGGAAAACTCTAGCTACAAATGTGCCTTTTTCTTGACCACTAAACAAAACACATACAATTCAAAATACTTATACTTCTAAGGATAATAATTTATTAGGTGATACTTTGTAATCAAAACACAAAAATTCTTTTCGGCTGAAATCTCCAAGGAATGTGACCTGGGTAATGATGCCAACTCTGTAAAGGACTTTAGAGGTTCTAGGGACATTGGCAAGCAATTAATATGCATGACTCCTATCCTATGGAGCTTAAATTTGTTCAACAGAGAAATGAACCACACAGTGAGGCTGAGAACCCCTCCAAGGACTAGGAACACTCCACCTTGCTACTGGCTGATTGCATCAGTACTTCACCCTGCTTCCCTTGGGAAAGGACACACCCGGGCAGTAGACCTCACTCAAAGCAAGTGATAGGCCTCCAGAATGAATTGTGAGCAGTGAGAAAGCCTGGACACTCCCTGAGGTCTTTCCCACCTTGTGCAAAAGAAGGAGAAAGGAGAGAAGAATAAGGAAGAGGAGAGAACATGGACATGCCTGGAGACAGAAGCCAGGCATCTGTTAGCCAGCCAGACATAGAGATAGCAAGAAAGTAAGAAAAAGTAAAAGCCCTGAGGCAAAATGTAGATGAAGAGAAACAGGTTAAGTTATAAGAGCTAGCAAGAAAAGAGCTAGGCTAAGGCTGAGCATTCAAAACTAATAATAAGTCTCTGTGTCATGATTTGAGAGCTGGCTGGTGGCCCAAAACAAAAAGCCTGGTACAACTAAGGAATGCTGAGAGTGGGAAGAAATAGTCCTCCCTAGGGAAGAGCACACCAATTGGTTATCCAATACCAACTGGTCAGCCCTGAAACATACATGCAGGTAACACACAGACTGAGCAGGTTGTATTTCTATATTTAAGAACAAACACACACACACACACACACACACACACACACATCAATGAAAGGAAACGAGGCCATGAATTTGAAAGAGAGCAAGAGTGGTGGTACATGGGAGAGTATGGAGGGAGGAAAGGGAGGGGTAAATTATGTAATTATATTATAATCTTTAAAAAAATTAATTTTTTAAAAAGAAAAGAATGCCAGTACATGCTGTCTAAATTTCTTCATGATCTGGTCCTAAGACTTTCTGTTCCTCTTTAACATTTCAAATGTGTTTTAGCATTGCCTCACCTCCTCTTCAGAATGTAGATTCTGTCCCTGTATGTTGGTGCACACCTTTAATCCCAGCACTTGCGAGGCAGAAGCTGGTGGGTCTCTGTGAGCCCAGGGCAAGCTTGGTCTACATTAGCAAGTGCCAGGACAGCCAGGACCACATAGAGAAAAACGTCTCAAAAAAAAAAAAAAAAAAAAGTGTGTAACGTGTGGTAGAGTCCTAGTTTACACACTGCCACATCTCTGACTTAGTGTGCGTTAGATAATATTTTATTTTTAAATTACTCAATGTTAGAAGCAGCTTTCAAATTAAAATATGGTATTTTTCAAAGTTAAACTTTTTATCCATGGGGGAAGAGTGGACTCAAAGCAGTTCTGCAGCTATAAACTAGCTAAAGTGAAGACGATGTGCAGACAATTATTTTAAGATCATGGGTTGTGATCTACTAATGGGTTCGCAAATTAGTAAGTCAAAATGTGTCTTTAAGACTTTAAAATTATATTTGTATTTATTTTGTGTGTTTGTGTGCATGTCTGTGGATGGGGATGGGGGTGCACATGTGCACACGCAGAGATCAGAGGACAACTTGCAGGAACCACGTCTCTCCTTCAATCATGAAGGCCCCAGGGTTAGCACTCTAGTGTTCAGGCTGGGCAGCAGGCACCTTTCCCTACCGAACCATCTTATCTTACCTGCTCTGAGACGTAGTTCTTTTGAAGAATGAGATAGAAGAGAATACAAAGAATCAATGTATCCTGCGCATAAGTGAGATGGACCTTGGCTTCTGTCACATGCATTTCCATGTGTACTGGGTCATGTTGTACTCAGACCAGCAGTTTCCATAACTTCAGATTCAGAATTGCCTGGCGCTGGTAATGAATGGTTTCCCTGGCTTAAGTCTTCTAAAACTCCAATTCTACTGGCCTGGGAGAAGACCAGAACTCCCTAAGACAACTGCTTCAGTCTGGGCTCGCATCTTGGCTAGACTCCAGTCACTGCAGCCAAGTCACCAGGCTCCTGTGTGCAGCAGCCTAAGATGAGAACAGACAGGTACTCCCGGACTCTGGGCTACCCCATCCTCACTCCACTCCTAAGACCAAGCCTCTGAACCTCTCAACGGTACTCAAGGTGACAGAGGCAGCATGGGAACTTTCAAGGACCCAGGGATCAAGGGACAGTGGTTGGACAGGAGAGCTACTCTCCCCATTACTCATACCACCCTTTATATTCTCTCCCTTATTTCTGTCCTTCTCGTCTTACAGTGACATCTTGAGATACTGCCCTAATATTTTTGGCATTTAGGATATAAAAAGCAGATGATCTTGGGTATGGACCAATAATGAAGGAAATTTTAAAATACATACATAGGCTCAAGGGCCTACTGACTGATTATACAGATGTGATAGGAGAAAGGGTGAACAAGAAGCTCTGATTATAACTATCTCCATGAAAACTTGAATCACAGCCAGTGTTAAAACTACTGGTGAAGGATCCGGGGCAGAAGTCCCAATCTGGAGCTAAGAGAAGAAAAACTTGTGTTGAAACAGATATCTGCCTTTGAGCCTTCTTCTTAGGAAAGATGTTACAGAATCCTGAGATTTGTGGAGAACTACAAATCCATTAGGGACAAGAATTTACATATATATAGGTGATTTGCCTACATCTATGTCTGTATACCACATGCATGCACTGCCCAAGGAGACCAGAAGATGTCATGTCAGATCCCTGGAGTTACTAAAGATTGTTAGCTGGGATTTGAACCTGGATCTCTTGAAAAACAGCCAGTGCTCTTAACCACCGAACAATCTCTCTAGCCCCTAAGAATTTGCTTCTTGAAAAAGTAAAGTAACCAAGTAACGCCCTGGAGTTGAGGCCCATTCTTAGGGATCTGAGCAGGATGCAGTGGAATGAAGACTAGTTTTCCCTAAGGCTGTCTGCACACCTAATAAACACAACTCTCCCAGGGTGATAGCCATCCCCCATTAAAGGAAGCAGAATATTGGCCTCCTAGCCTCACTGTGGAAAACACTAGGTAAACTGTGCTGGGGCAATGGTGGTCCTAGGGAAGGTACCACACGAGTAGTGTAATGTGGCCTCTGAGAAAAGTGTAGCCAAATCCATGCTCGGAATGAAAAGAAAAAGATGAGCAAGTTACTTCATTTTGTCCAAAAGCCACGATTAAAGGTGTACTTTCTACATTACTCACCTGTCAACCTCCTCCTTGCTCATGGCAGCAAATGTGAAACACTCGGTCACACCATTGATTGCAAGCAGGAGGACATAGAGACAATAGGACCGCATCAACACAGGCCCTACAAAGAAATAATCCACAGATTCCAGAGTCAAATGGGTGCACCCTTAGCTCCACCACGTGTTCAGAGAATTAGGTCACGGCACGGGATGGTATCAATGGAGACTGCATGCCCACCTGAGGACTCTCAGTATCTCACGGCACTGACTACAATACTCAGATAAAATCAGAAGGCCAGTGAAGAATAAATGCACCGCTCTTCTCATGCTCAACAACTGAAAGCTTATCTGGCCACCAAGGAAGACTGTGAACATTTTCAGTCAGCACAGCTTGCAGGGTTGAGCACTGAAGACACCAGTATGTAATAAGGGAAGCTCAACTGAGCAGGCTGCAAACCGCCTTTGGGAAGAGCCAGGCCCAGGCCCAGCAGCAAACTCCTGAGACAGAACCTTCACAATCCCCGGTGAGAACCAGAGGCCCCAGTGGTATGGTGTCACATCCAGCAATATATTTTCAAGAACCTTGTTGACCAAGGCCAGTGGGATGGCTCAGTGGGTAGGGTGCTTGCTGTCAAGACTGATGACCTAAATTTGATCCCTGGGACCCACACAGTGGAAGAAGAGAACTCACTCCTGCAAGCTGTCCTGACTTCCACATATGTGTGGCACCAGTACACACACACGTGTACACACACACACACACACACACACACACACACACACAAACACACACACGTGTCATTTTTTAAAATTACAGACCAAAGACTAGAAGCTTTATCATGAGATTGATTCCTCTCTTTTCAGAGGACTATTATAAAACAGAGATGAGCAAATAATTTCTTTTTCTTTTTTCTTTCTTTCTTCCTTCCTTCCTTCCTTCCTTCCTTCCTTCTTTCCTTTTCTTTCTTTCATTGTCATTTGGGGAACAGTGTCTCATGGAGCCATGGCTGACCTCAAACTTTTTTTTTTAAAGATTTATTTATTATGCATTGTGTTCTGTCTGCATGTATGTCTGCAGGCCAGAAGAGGGCGCCAGATCTCATTACCAATGGCTGTGAGCTACTATGTGGTTGCTGGGAATTGAACTCAGGACCTCTGGAAGGCCAGCCAGTGCTCTTAACTGCTGAGCTATCTCTCCAGCCTGACCTCAAACTCTTTATATAGCCAAAGATGATCCTCCTGAGTATTGGTATTTCAAGCATGCAAACCATGCTTCCTGAATGAGCCATTTCTACTAAAACAAATGATCACTCAAACTATAACCCAGCAATTGCACCCTAGGTATCCATCCAACAAAAATGAATACCCACGGTCACAAAATGTGTACTGATTCTATTCATAATCACACAAACTGACCAGCAACAGGAAAAAGGATAAGCACACTGGGGCCTTCCATTCAGAGTAATACTTCTCAGCAAGAATACTTCTAAAAAGGGGGCTGCAGAGATGGCTCAGTAGTTAAGAGCACTTGCTGCTGTTCTTTTAGAGAACCTGGTTCAGTTCCCAGCATCCACACAGTAGCTTGTAACTGTCTAAAATCCACTTCTGGTGATCCAATGCCCTCTTCTAGCCTTTAAAGGCACTAGGCATGCATGCAGTGCACATAATACAGGCAAAACATTCATACACATAAAATTTAAAAAAGAAATTATTTTAAAAAACAAAAAAAAAAGATTTCTGGGCATTGTGGTGCACATCTTTAACCCTAGCACTTGGGAGGCAGAGGCAGGTAAATCTCTGAGCTCTAGGTCAGCCTGGTCTACAGAGAGAGTTCCAGGCTAGTCAAGGATACATCACAAGACTTTGTCTCAAAAACAAACAGAATCCATGTATTAACAAATGTCAAAAACTTTAGACCAAAAAAAGACACAAGAGTGTACATGCTGTATAACTTTACGCACCTGAAAAGAACTTATTTGTCTACTTATTTATTTATGTATTTGAGGCAGGGTTTCTCTGTGTAGCCCTGGCTGTCCTGGAACTTGTTCTGTAGACCAAGTTGACCTCAAACTCAGGGATCAGTCTGTTTCTGCCTCCAGAGCGCTGTAATTAAAGGTGTGCGCCACCACACCCAGCTAAAATTCTTTTTTAAGAGCAATACTACTGCGGGAATGTAGCTCAATGGTCTAACATGCACAAAGTCCTGGGTTTGATACCTAGCAATACACACACACACACACACACACACACACACACACACACACACACAGCCCCAAACAAACCAGAACTGATGAAGCTTGGGCTGAGAATGGTAAGAGTGTTTGCTTAGCATCTGCAGAGCCCTGAATTCAATTCCTAGTACCTAAATAAACCAACACATGCAACATATAAATAAAGTGATAAGGCCAAACCATGGAGATAGGACATTCTTTTCTGCTTAATGCAGGAATCCTTTCTAGGCAAAGTCAAGTTTTATGAAAATACTTAAGTGATCACAAAATAAATTACTGGGCTGGGCTGGGAAGAACAGTGATGTGAATGCTTTCTGATATAAGAAATTCATCTGGACTCACAGCACTAGTTAGAACAAGAAGAGAGATGGGATAAGAGGGAAACCCAGTAGGCAATTTGTGCAGACCCTCATGCTACCCAGACAGCAAATGGGCTTTTCAGGGTGGTAGCTTGGTGCCAGCTTGGTAAATAGTAAAAGGCAATGAGCCAGGTGTGGTGGCATGTGCCTTTAATCCCAGCACTTGGGAGGCAGCCGCAACATAACGATGGCAGTTCATTTATATCTGTAGGATGAATTACTCTACCACAGGAGCATGATCATGACTGGACGGCCCCGCTTAGGCAACATCTTATGGCTATGTTAAAGCAAAGGCTGTTTTCTAAGTGGTCAGAGATAGCATCAAACAGTTGGATCCCCTATCTCTGCATATAAACTTCCTAATGGCTTCCTAATGAGGCCTCCCAAGCAGTTGCCTGATGGAAATGTACTGCTTAAGGCACACACTCCAGGGAGCCACAAATCATATCACAGGCTTCACAGCAAGCATTTCCTCAAATTTAACAACTTTTGGTTGTAGAAACATAGTCCTTTTTTTTTTCCAGTACCAAAAGTCTGAGCCCCATTGTGGCAACTGAAACATGAAAATGTAAAATTGTACTGACAGGGCCCTTTATATTGAGATGGGGCAGCAGAGAATCTTCCAGGTTCTTGTCTAGGGATCTGAGAAAATAAAAACTTGTCCGCTCATTCCAGGATAAAAACTGCAAAGGGGCCAGGTGGTGGTGGCGAATGCCTTTAATCCCAGCACTTGGGAGGCAGAGGCAGGTGGATCTCTGTGAGTTCAAGGCCAGCCTGGTCTACAGAGTGAGATCCAGGACAGGCACCAAAACTACACGGAGAAACCCTGTCTCGAAAAACCAAAACCAAAACCAAAAAACAAAACAAACAAACAAAAAAACAAAAAAACCTGCAAAGGGATGGTCAGCCTAGAGCCCGGCATAGGTTGAAATGGGTAAAAACCTCAAGGACCTGTAAGTGCAGTGAAATTCTCAGCAGCCTGGAGATCAAGTATTTCAGTGACAGAATCAGTCCATGCTTTTCTCCTCCCAAACCAAGAGTCAAGAGATTAAATATATAATTTTACTTGCCTAGATCACTTTTATTCTAGGCAAATGGCTCTGCGTTCTCTTTCCAAGGCTTTTACTCATCACACTCTGAGATTGACATGGCATTTACTATCTCGGATGTATTTAGTACCAAGGAGAGACCCATCATAGCCCGCACTCTGCTTTCCTCCCTCACTTAGAGGAATCACAGCAAGGAGGACTCACCACTCCTTCAAGTGAGGGTGAGAACTGATCACCCTGCTGCAAGCTGATTGCACACTGATTGTTTACTGAGAGTGAGACCTGGTGCAAGCTGATTGCACACTGATTGTTTACTGAGAGTGAGACCTGGTGCAAGCTGATTGCACACTGATTGTTTACTGAGAGTGAGACCAAGTGTGCACATGGCCTGAATTTCATGAGCTGCTTCTATTTCTCTTCAGAAATCAGAACAAACCCTTTACAAAGTCTGGCACATACCTGATCCTGAACTAAGCATGGCTCCTCCATAGATGTCCAGAGCCAGTTGAGAATAGGCAAAGCCAAAAACAGTAATGGTCAGGCCAGTCAGCAAGGCCAGCTTGAGGAGGGACTCCAAAACTGCAGCAGCCACAGCAACATCCTCCTGGCCAGGGGAAAGGGAAGAAAGTCAGCTCAGTCCAAACCGAAGAGCACCCTGTGCAGGCTAGTTCTTCCAGTGAGGGCTCTCCTGTCTTCTGAAGCCTGTATTTGTCTTTATGACAATTAGCAAATGAAAGGGAGAAGCAAGCCATGTCTCTTTAGGTGGGAAGTGGGAGGTTTAGTTTTCAGTTCATTCAGGATAAATTTCCAGTGTTGCTGGAAACACTTGATCCTCATATTTTCACCTAGACTAGTCAGATCTGTGCTTCTCCTGATTGATGACAGGAAATTCTGTTATTGTCAATGTTCACTTTGGAAAATATTCCTACGTCAGACTTCGACCCAGATCTAACTTTCAGATACTGGGAATAAATTACATTTTGTAAAGTGTCTTCTAAGACATGGAAGGGGTGGACCTGGACTCTTTTAGTTGCCAAGTCAGTCGGAAGGGCAGAGGGGAAGGCTCCTCAAGAGAGAGCACTTGCTGCAAGCACGAGGGCCTGAGGCCCTGAGTTCAAATCTTCAGCACCCATGTTCAAAAACAAAAAGCCTAGCACTTGGGAGCAAGTCGAAGTGGGGGAGCTCCTGGTTCAGTGAGCAACCCAGTCTCAAGGAAGAAGGCAAAGAAAACAGAAGACACCTAACGTCTTGTTCTGGTCTCTACATGTGCCCGCACGAGCACCTGTACACTCACATATGCATCTCACACACAGTAAATTAATAAAATAATAAAGTCTAAAATCTTTTTAAGGCCAGGTGGTGGTGGCGCATGTCTTTAATCCCAGCACTCAGGAGGCAGAGGCAGGTGGATCTCTGAGTTCAAGGCCAGCCTGGTCTATAGAGCGAGATCCAGGACAGCAGGGCTACACACACAGAAACCCTGTCTTGAGAAAAAACCAAAACAAAACAAAAAAAGAGCCAAAAACTTTTTAAAGTAAGTCAGAATTTTTAGTGATTACAGGGCTGGGAATCTAGTTCAGTTGGGAGAGTGCCTGCCTACCTTGTCCAAGGCCCTGAGTTTGAATCCTCACAATGCACAAACTGTCTACAGTGACACAAGTGTCTGAAATCCCAGCACTTGGGAGGTTGAAGCAGGAGGCTCAGAAGTTCAAAGCCATCCTCTGTTACTCCAAGTTTGAGGATAGCCTGGTCTACAGAGTGAGTTCCAGGACAGCCAGGACTAATAGTAAGATCCTGTCTTGAAAAACAAAACAAAACACACACACACACACACAAAGCAGAATAGGAGAAGAGGAGATCTAGAAGGAAACGTCAGATCGAACTGAAGGAAAACTGACTGCCCCACAGTTCTTCCCTGAGATGACACGAGGACCAACCTTACCTGTTTCTGGTGTGTGGCATCCTTTTCCCTCTCTAGCACCTTAGCAAAGAAGATATAAAAACTCTCCTCTATTGGCTGGAAAATTAGCCTAGCCACAAGAGACCCCAGATTATTCACTATATCATACACACCTACAAAACAGAAAGGAAGAGCAATAATCATATTAGTTCTTAATTTCACAGCACTATAGGAAAATTCTTTTTCTAATTTATGTTTAATTTAAATTCTTTAATCTGTTTTTTTCTCTTGGATACAGGGTCTCACATAGCCCAGGCAGGCCTTGAATTCACTATACAGCCAAGAAAAACTTGAACTTCTGATCTCCCACCTCCACCTCCCAAGTGCTGGGATTATAGGTGTGCAGCACACACACACACACACACACACACACACACACACACACACACACACACACTTTCCACAGTGCTGAGGATTAAACTCAGGGATTCCTGGATGCCAGGCCAACACTGTACTAACCAAACTGCTTCCTCAGTCAAAAGTTTGTAAATTTGGAGAAAGACTGTATATTCACGTGGTTGAAGAAATGATAGGTCTTGTACCAATGGTAACATCTTGCAAAATCTGTGGTACAGTTTTGCAACCATGACCCTGCCCTTGATGCAGTCGAGAAGGTGCTTTTATCACTAGTCTTTTAGAAAATAAGTCATCAATCTGGAGCTGGCTTTCCTCTACTTCTACTTCCATCACTCTGGTATCACGTTGAAAAATAACACAAACCCTGAGAGACTAATCAGGCACACCAACCGGGAGCAGATCTTTATGACTATGATGAGCCCCACCCCTCAAATTGACGACTGCCACTCAAGTCACACGACGGGGCATCATCAAAGACCTAGTATCTATTAGTGGTATCCATTTTTAATTAAAACACTACAGACTTCCATCTTACCCTGATCGCCAAAGTTTAATACATTCAAAAATGTCATCACGTATCGCTCGCCTATAATAGAAAAGCAAAGTTATTGGCATTTCAAATGCAACATCCATTTCTTCTTTCCTTTTTTCTATTGATAAATACACTCCCGACCACCCCCCTTTTTTTGAGTGCAAGAACAGACTCAAACTTGAGAATCTCCTACCATGCCTTGCTGGATGCTGGACTTAGAGGTGTGTGCCACCATGCCTGGCTCTGAGAAACATTAGATAACCAATTAAAGATCAGTTCAATGTCTTAACACTGAATTTCACACCATCTCATAGCAACAGTTCAGAAAGTGCTGAGGCCTTTATTGACGGAGTCTTGAAGCCAAATTAATTATTATTAATAATTAATTATTTCAAAACCAGCCTATTAACAATAAAATAGGGGGAGACTGTGGAAATATTAATAGTGAAAATGACTTCCAAGTCTTAAAGGAGAACACATTTTCTTTCTTTCTTTCTCTCTCTTTCTCTCTCTCTCTCTCTCTCTCTCTCTCTCTCTCTCTCCCTCCCTCCCTCTCTCCAGGGTTTCTCTGTGTAGCCCTGGCTGTCCTGGAACTCACTCTGCAGGCTGGCCTCGAACTCGGAGATCTACCTGCTTCTGCCTTCTGAGTGCTGGGATTCAAGGTGTGCACTATTATGTGTGGCTTGAATTTTCTTTCCACAAATGAAACACCCTGGCCGTGATAGAGACAGCACCAAACAGTGGCCACAGGCCCAACGAGCAAGTTCTCACTGCCTGGCAACTCAAAAAGAAAAGCACTACAAGGCCAGGTTCCCATCTTCTCACAAGACTCCTCTCTCTGATCTGTCTCCCTGTAAAAACAACTGTGTGTGAGAGGGAACCCCATTGGTCCTCTCAGGTTTCCATCTCTATGCTCCTCTAACGCTCCCTTATTTTGAACAGTTCTAGCTTTTATAAATACAGTCAGACTCCATATCTATGAGTTTATGACTCTAATGATCAAGCTAACTGTAAATCAAAAACACTTAGAAAAAAAATGCATTTGAACTGAACTTGTATGGCTTATTATTATTATTCTCTAAATAATACAGTATAATGATAACTTTACATAGTACTTGCATTGCACTAGGTACAATTAAGTACTTCTGAAATGATGTAAACCATAAAGAAGGGTATGCCTAAGTTATATGCAAAAAAAAAAAATACACTATTTTATACAAGGGACTTGAGCATCCTTAGATGCTCAACCAAAATCTGATACCAAGATACAACTGTATAGTCCCCTGTCAATCCCTGAGTTCACACCTTCAAATGGCTCAAAAGTATTTGCAAAAGTCCGGGCTCAAACCCAGAGGTGGTGATTATGCCTTTAATCCCAACACTCAGGAGGCAGAGGCAGTCGAATCTCTAAGTTCAAGGCCAGCCTGGTCTACAGAGTGAGTTACAGGATGGCCAGAACTATACAGAGAAACCTTGTCTCAAAAAAACAAAACAAAACAAAACCAAACCCAGTCCAGGCTCCTTAATTCTGCAGTTGAGGCTTTTTATACACTAATTCCCAGCTGTCTTTTTGGCCTCCTTTCTCAAGCTTTACCCCACTGTGTTTCCATTCTCGGTTACCCCTGCCTGCCTGAGTTTCGCTTCAGCAGCTCTGGTTCAGTCTATAACTGACTGGGGCATCCTCACCACCTACAATGGATTTTTAAGGCTCCTCCCTGTTTTCTGGCAGGAGAAGGCTCCCCTTCACATTCCGAAAGCTCCCTTGGGGCAGGACACCCCTCTCAGACATCTGCATCTCTTTCCTCTTCAGTTTCCTAACAGTCCTCCAAAAGAAATGAGGGGTCCTCAAGGAGCTTGTGCTGACTGAGTTAGGATCTCCAAGCACAGCCACATCAGTGCTTTGGTGAGAGAATGAACATCTGGAGGCCATGGCCAGTTGCTGCTTATCTGTCTTTGTTCTCAGCACCCGACAGGGCACAGGAAACATGGGGGCAGAAGGGGAACACACACACTCTCACTACTGTACACAAAACAGTTTGTTTATTTGTTTGTTTTGTTTTATTTTTCAAGACAGGGTTTCTCTGTGTATCCCTGGGCTGTCCTGAAACTCCCTCTGTAGACCAGGCTGGCCTCGAACTCAGAGATTCACCTGCCTCTGCCTCCCAAGTGCTGGAATATAGCTGAAAGATAGCTGCTAAAAGAGTTTTAAAAACATATAGAAGTTAGGTTATGATAATGGGATTATGTTTTTCTCTAATTTTCAAAATTTATCATTGATGTAACACTTTTATAATAAATTTATTAAATGATATAATTTGGGCTTTTCCAGTTAGATTTTGCTGCAATTTGAGTGTGAAGTGTTCCTCCAAGTCCCATGTGTTCAAGCTTTGAGCCCCTTCAGAAGGGACTGTAGGGAGACAGTCAGGCCACTGGAGCACACTGCTGAGGGACATATCAAAACTCTGCCCCTCTCTGTCTGTTTCCCAGCAAGCCTCCTCTGCCATTCACTAGCATCACCATCGTATACTGTTACTGTGGGCCAGATTGACCCTTTCCTGGGGTTGAGTTGTTTGTCGCAGGTGTTCTGCTACAGTAACAGGAAGCTGACTAACACGGACTTCGATTTCAATTAAGCTATCCTTTGTTACTACAGGACTCTAAATCTCGACCTCTGGTTTCCTCATCCCTGTACAGAGGGAGCGAGTATCTTTGATAAGGCTGTGGAGAGCTTTAAAACTAGACAGCTTAGGTAAAACATAAAGCCAAATAAATACTGGTTCCCTATCATTATTTAAAACAAACTAAAGCCAGCATATGTCTAAGAGCCCTCTGCCAAGGGCTCCAGACAAGAGCTCTGGGGTCAGCAGTCCTGTGAGATCTTTTTCTTCTTTTCTGATCTCCCAACTGCTCAACGCGACCTTTTACTTTACTTACCTTCTGTCAAAATCTGCTTCAAGAAAGACTGTTTGAAAAAACTCCAAGTCAATTTAGCCTCTTTCCAATTGACAAATGCCTAAAAGAAAAACAAAACATAAACAAAATTTCCAGCATTTCAAAGCTAAGAGCTACCTGAGAGGCAAACTCACTTTTGGCCCATAAGGCCCCAACTTGAATAGTTCCCATCAAATCATCAATCAGTGCTAGGCACACAGAACCAGAACATACCAGAACATAACTTATACGGCAGCTATAATTTGAACCTTGAATGTTTCTAAAGGCCTTGTGTTGAAAGCCTGGTCCTCAGCAGGACCAACTGGAAAGTGGCAGAGCCTGTGTGCAGTGAGAAGGGCCAAGGCCTCCGAGGGTGTGCTGCGGAGGGCACTGTGGGAAGCCAGCCCCTTCTCTTCTTTCTCATCCCAGACAGGAGGAAACTGTTTTGCTCAGTCATATACTTCCGACACTGTGTGCTGCTCTGACATAGGTCCAAAGCAGCAGGACAATTGGTCATGGATGGGAAGCTTTTCTGGATAGGCATCTTGTAATCTCAGTACCCAGATGGTTGAAGCAGAAACATTCTGAGTTCAAGGCCAGCCTTAGCTATAAAGGGAGTTAAAGACCAGCCTAGACTACAAAGTGGGCCCTACCTCAAAAGACAAAACAAAAACCTCAAGGAAACAGGAGTTGTGGCTCCTGAAGTCCCAGCATCAGGAGGCAGAAGGAACTGACCTCCTCCAAGACCACTCTGGGCTACAGAGTGAGTTTGAAGCCAGCTAGACTATAGAGTGAAACCTTGTCTCTAAACAAACTAAAACTAGACTAAACTTTCCTTATGATTTATTTCAGGTATTTGTTATAGTAACAGAAATCTGACTTCCAAAATTGGAAGGCAAAGTCTTAGGCATGCCTAAATCATACATGAAGAACCCTAAAGAATTCTTGCTGTCTCTTTGGATGCCTTTAAAGTCCAGACAGTACACTACCACATCCAAAACACAGTTCACATTCAGTACTTTTCTTAAAAAAATAAATATAGATAGACAGACAGACAGATTTGTTCTTCAGCACACGAAGCTAAAGAACAAATTCCACCCCTGTATTCCTTATCTTAAGGCCAGGTTCAGCTACTTAAGGCCTTGGCACAGTTATAAGGTGCACTCACACATTCCAGAAAAAACTCAACCTTCTCAGAAGTGGTACAGCAGAGGAAAGGAGACATTAAGACGGCAACAGCAACAACAAAACCCCACCTTTACCTATGACCCTTTTGAAACCTCCAGGAGCCTCACACCACCACTTCCTAAGGACAACAAAGATAAGGAGACAAATACTCCGAAGATCAACCTATGGGCCTTTAGGCCAGAAAGCTGACTACAAAGTGAACAATGGAGTAACTAGTTTCCCTCAGTTCCTAGTGGGGACACTTCTCTGTCACACATGCATCCTGGAATCTCAGATATTAAATCTAGAACAACGTTTCCCAGTAGAACTATAAAGCTTAGTTTTCTGCAGCCACATAAAACAGGAAAAAGAAACAAAATCATTTTGTTTTGCTTTCAAAATGGGATCTAGCTATGTAGCAAGATAACCTTAACTTCACCATGTGGATTAGTTACTGGTCTCACTGCCGTGATAATGCCTGACAAGAGTGATTTAAGGAAGGAAGGAAGGAAGGTGTACTCTGGCTGACAGTTCCAGGGGACAGTCCATCATGGAGAGGAAGGCAAAGGCAGGAGTTGAGGGAGCTGGTCCCACTGAATCCACAGTCAGGAAGCAAAAAACAATGAATCCCAATGCTCAGCTTCTTTCTCCTTTCAATTTAGTCCAGGATCCCAACTCATGGGATGGTTCTGCACACACTGAGGGTGGGCCTTCTCACCCCAATTAACCTGATTTGGAAACTCCCTCACAGACATGCTTTCTCCAGGCAGAAGGAAATTGAGCCACACGATGTTTTAACACTGAGCATCCATCTCCTTTCTTGAAAACAAAAGGTACCAGACAACTTAACACCACGAGAGGGCACTGTGGACCACTCATCCTCAGACAGACTCTGCCCAGGATTGACGCTGGGGAAGTGAGGACACAGCATCTATCTCCAGCGTCACATTGCCCCTGCCGTGGCACAACGGTGTTCCTCTGAGGGGTCTGTGCTGTAGCACCTGTGCTTTTTTCAAAGGAAATGGAAAGCTGAAGCTTGCCCACGGGCCCTGGGGTCCTGCCACCCCCTCCCCAGACGGACTCACTTAGGTAGCCTAGGCTGGCGACCTCAAAATCTTGCAGCCATCCTCCCTCCTCGGCCTCTCAGATGCTAGGCCTGGAGGTGTGTGCCACTATGGCAGACCCTGTGATGCTCTTGTCGAACCTACTTGCCAGTCAACAGTAAAAGCATTTGGGCAAATGACTCAGCTCTCAAAAGAGAAAGTCCTTGGGAGAGTGAATCCTAACGCCTTCAGTGTAGCTGGCCTGTGGTTCGGAAGGAATGGCCACGCTGTTTACTACAGCCAAAGTGTTCATTAAGGACACGCTGGCAGGAAGTTCACTCTGAGGCTTGGGTTCTCAAGAAAAGAAGGAAGCAAATTCTAGGGACTTATATCCTTTTATTTAGAATGGCTATGTCACTTGGGATGGTGGGTGACACCGTTTAATAAAGCTGGTTTGATACTATTGAGCTCTGGTCTAAGCCAGACATGAACTTCTCTGAAATCTCCTAAGGAGACATCCTACAGCTCTGCTGTACTAATGGACATGAACTTCTCTGAAATCTCCTAAGGAGACATCCTACAGCTCTGCTGTACTAATGGACACACTGAGGCTTGGGAAGTGAAAGGTGAAGACGGGCAGTAACTAAACGAAAGGCCTAGAACCAGAGTCAAGCTCATCCTGCTGAGTCATTCTTCCCTTCCAAACTTCTGACTCAGGATGATCAGCCGTAGCCCTCTCACACTGCTAAGTCCCTGGGAAGCCTGAGGCCACAGCCATCACCGCCACCATACAGCACTCTCTCCCTTCCCCTTTCTCCTCCCATCCCAGGCCTCACAGGTCCCTGACTGCCCCAGACTTGCCCACCCTCCCATCTTTGTCCACCTCATGACTATCCCTCCACGGCTTACCTGGACTACGGTCTCAGGCTCCCACCGAGACCTTTGACCTCCACGTTTGCCCTAGCCCACCCTTGAAACTGTAGGTTCAAGCTCTGGCACCAAGCTCAGAGCCTGCAGTTTAAACTGCTTTTTGACTGAGCCCAAAGGCCATGGGCAAGATGGTCAGCTTTGCTAAGCCTCGGGGCTGTCACCTGCAAAATGAGGTAAGCTCTATCTTCCAGCGAGATTAGCAAGGCATGCTGGCACACGTCTGCAGCAACAGCACTCAAACTCTGAGGCACAAGTGCTGGGGATATTATTTTAAGGTGTGTTACTTTTGTTTATGTTGCATTGGTTTAACTGTGAAGCTGTGTTACTGTGCCTGTCTAAAACACCTGATCGGCTAATGAAAAGCTGAACGGCCAATAGTGAGGCAGGAGAAAGGATAGGCGGGGCTGGCAGGCAGAGAGGATAAATAGGAGAAATCTGGGAGGAGGAAAAAGAAAGAGGTAGCCAGAGAAGGAAGATGACTTCAGGGACCAGCCACCCAGCAAGCCACAGAGTAAGACTTACAGAGTAAGAGAATGAGAAAAGCCCCGAGGCAAAAGGTAGCCGGGGATAATTTAAGTTAAGGAAAGCTGGCAAAAAAACAGCCAAGCTAAGGCTGGGCATTCATAATTAAGAATAAGCCTCTGTGTGTGATTTATTTGGGAGCTGGGTGGCTGGCCCCCAAAAGAACAAAAGAGTAAAATACCAACAACACCACACAAAGGAACTAAGAGCTTAAGGCTGGATATATAGTGAGACCTTGTCTCAGAGAGAGAAGTCCTGTTTTGTGGAGCTGTAGGGGGCTGAATGAGGGAAAAGCAGGATACTATTAAGCTCCTCCACATGACACCATTAAAAAACCTTTCAGATGGGTGTGGTAACCCAGCACTCAGGAAGTCAGGACAAGAAACCACAAGTTCAAGTGTTTTGTTTTTTTGGCTCTTTTAGGGGGCCCACCACCTAGCTCCCAAATAAATCACACACGGAGGCTTATTACTTATGAATGCCCGGCCTTAGCTTCGCTTAGTTTCCAGCCAGCTTTCCTTAACTTAAATTCTCCCAACTACCTTTTGCCTCTGGACTTTTCCCGTTCTCTTTCTTCTGTAAGTCTTACTCTTTCTCCGTGGCTGCTGTGTAAACTGGGTGGCTGGACCCTGGAGTCCTCCTCCTCCTCCTCCTCCTCCTCCTCCTCCTCCGGCTCCTAGATCTCCGCTCCTCCTAGATCTCTCCTTCTATATATCCTTTCTCCTGCCTTGCTAATGGCCATTATTCAGCTCTTTATTAGACCATCAGGTGCTTGAGACAGGCACAGTAACACAGCTTCACAGAGTTAAACCAATGCAACATAAACAAAAGTAATACAACCTTAAAATAACCGACTACATTCAAGGGCATCCTCAGCTGCATAGTCAGAAGCTAGGCTGGGTTACATTAGACCCTGTTTCAAAAAAAATTTCTGGGAGAAAGACAACCATTGTCTCCACTTGTATACCCAATGCTGAGCCCACCTAGTTCCAACTGGTAACTCCAAACCAATGGCCACACAGTGGCTAAACTCAGTGGGTCACAAAATAAAATGAAAAGCTGCGGAGTTCACCACAGCAAGCATGTCTTCAGTGTGACCATTTGAGGTGCCATTAATTTATCACAAATCTAAATGAAGCCAGGTGGTGGTGGCACACGCCTTTAACCCTAGCTCAGGAGGCAGAGATAGGCGCACCTCTGAGTTCAAGTCCAGCCTGGTCTATAGAGTGAGTTCCAGGACAGCCAGGGCTACACAGAGGAAACCCTGTTTTGAAAAACAAACAAACAAATCTAAATACCTATAAAGAAACTGGAATTCTCCAGACTAGGAAGGAAACCTGTGATTTGGTCAACTGATCTTGCACCGACTGTGAGGATAGATGGACACCGGAGCGGGTGCACAGAGCTGCTCGTGGGGGATGAGTGCAGACTATGCTCTCCTTATCATTGGTGTTACTGTTGTTGAGGCAGGGGCTCACTATGCAGAGCAGGCTGGCCTTGAACTTACAGAGATCCACCTGTCTCTCAAATGTTGGGTTTAAAAGATTACACCACTATACCTGGCCTAAAAGTCTTCTCTTTACCCCTTTAAAAATAATAAGCCTGAGTAATTTTTCTACCTGGAACTTCCCAATCTTTAAATAAATAAAAAACTACCAAGGGCAATAGGCCCAGTTCTTTTGGAAGACTAGTTAACCACACAGATCAAAGCTGGCCCACAGGGCAATTACAAGGAAGTGGATTCCAACAACTACATGGTTTGGGGTTCCAGCCACTTAACTCCTCTCACCTGGAAATGGAGACAACAGCACTTTTCTCACGGGACCGTCTGAAGATGCAACGCAAACGCCCACGTTAGTGCTGGCCGAGAGCAGTTACTGTAGACTGCTCCTTCCTCCCCTCCCTGAAGCTGGCTCTCTCTCCCTTCATCCGTTCTGGCACTACTTGGAATTGAACCAGGGCCTTATAAACACTAGGCTATATCCTCTGACTCTCTTTTTTTTTAAATTTTGAGACAGGGTCTCACCAAGCTGCCTAAGCAGTCTCAAACTCACTATATAGCTCAGGCAGTCCTTGAACTCTTGATCCTTCTACCTCAGCTTCTTGCGTAGCTGTCATGTGCTATCACGCTCATCTTAAATGGCTTTTTCAAAGTTCAAATGATTTCATGGAGATCCTGAAGTCGTCCGATGAGCCTCATGGGTCATATAAGCCAACAGTTTCACTTTAAAAATAAAGACTCTGGCCTGGTCTGGCGGTAGTCCATAGTCCCAGTTCTTTGGGAAGATGAGACAAGAAGATTGTTTGAGCCCAAGAGTTCAGCACTAGCCCAAGCAAAAGAACAAGACTCCTCTCAAACCAAACCAGAGTACAGGCTTCAGCTCTATCCCTGTTGCTCTCCAAACCTCCAGGAAACTCTGAGGCCTAGAAACATCCCTTCCTGGATTTCTGTGTCCTGAATCACACCAAACACGGGATGGCCATTTCAGAATGGGGGCATCTGTCCCAACACTACAGGCGCAGGTACTTTCAGTGTGGACAGCCGGTTAAACTATGACGCTCTCATGCCATTGCCATTAGCGTTAGCCTCGCTCCACACAGCCACCTCTGCTCTGGGAGCAGCAATGTGAAGATGGTGATGCCCACTTGTGCCAGGCCAGTGTTAAGCCTGTAGAGGTCCTATCTCATTAGGCTCTCAAGACCTTAAAAGGGATAGATCATTATTACCCTTATTTGGCATGGAAAGAAGCTACTAACAATTCAATTGCTCTGTTCCAAAACATGCTGGAGAACAGGGGCTGGTCCAATATGAAAAGCTGGTCAGGTAACAGTGGGTACTGGGAGATCTTGGTGGAGGAGGGACTCTTCTAACCTGCAGTCCTAACCATCTATGCCCACAGATGAGACAATGGCAGCCCAAACTGTCCCTGATTAAGGTTTGCTAGGAGCAGCTGATGAGTACGGAGCACTCCTTGTTAACAACTTCACGAACCTGGCTCTGACACATACTATCTGCTCCTTCTTAAAAACTTGTATAACAGGAAGCCGGGCGGTGGTGGCGCACGCCTTTAATCCCAGCACTCGGGAGGCAGAGCCAGGCGGATCTCTGTGAGTTCGAGGCCACCCTGGGCTACCAAGTGAGTTCCAGGAAAGGCGCAAAGCTACACAGAGAAACCTTGTCTCGAAAAACCAAAAAAAAAATAAATAAATAAAAACTTGTATAACAGGACTGCTGTGGGATGGTCTGTATATCAAATGCTCTGATTGGTCAATAAATAAAACACTGATTGGCTAGTGGCCAGGCAGGAAGTATAGGCGGGACTAACAGAGAGGAGAACTGAGAGAACAGGAAGGTGGGAGGAGACACTGCCAGCCGCCATGACAAGCCGCATGTGAAGATGCCGGTAAGCCACGAGCCATGTGGCAAGGTATAGATTTATAGAAATGGATTAATTTAAGATATAAGAAGAGTTAGCAAGAAGCCTGCCACGGCCATACAGTTTGTAAACAATATAAGTCTCTGTGTTTACTTGGTTGGGTCTGAGCGGCTGTGGGACTGGCGGGTGACAGAGATTTGTCTTGACTGTGGGCCAGGCAGGAAAACTCTAGCTACATAGGACTCCTAAGATTCTATTCCCATGTTTGGCTACCTTTTCAAATAATCACAAAAGAGAAGTCCAGTGGATACCTTTCTACTAAAAACAAACAAGCAAGCTAGCAAACAGGTGCTGAGAAAAAGGCATGTGCTCAGCATGGAGCGATCGAGTGTCTGAGGGAAGGCTGTGTGGTGTACTGTCCTACCAGATGCTTTGGCTTCAGGCCAGCCAGCAGCACTGACCCATCGGAGCTAGGAACTACGTGGCAAACAGCCTGAGAGTGAAAGAGTTGAGCGGAACAAGGCTATGCTCCATTCCCACATGCCAGCATCCAGTTTTCTCATTTGGTCTGATGGGAAAGCAGCCATGTGAAACGCTGGCCTCACAGCGAGATTTAAAACAAACAAAAAACAAAACAAAGTGACCATGAGCCAGACATGGCATCTTTCATACAAGCACTCAGAAGGCTGAGGCAGGAGGATTGCAAGCTTGAGGCTAGTATGGGATAAAAAGCAAAACTTTGTCTCCAAAAGGTCCAAAAAGAAACAACAACAACAAAATAACCGCTGGGGGTTATCCGGGCATTCTCGGAATTCTGGACTGCCTCTGCCAGAGGTCACCGCACAAGGACTAGAGGAAAAGCATGGAAAAGAGTTGAGCACGAGAACCTGACCCCGCGGGCCCCTGATTTCGCTCCGCCCTCACCTTGGGCAGGTACTTAAGTGCTCAGTGTCAACTCCCCTGCAATCCGAAGAGTGACAATGTCAGCCTTGCAGAGCAGCTGCAAGCACTGCCTGGGGCACGTGCAGCATGTATAGGGCCTAGCAGAGGCTTCTCTACCGGGAGTAGTTTAGGCTCTGGGGAGTCACCGCTAAGTGCTGCATGGATGGGGGTTGGGGGAGGGGAGTAGTGTGGGCAGCATCAAGAGGCCAGGGATGTAACATTCTGCAGTGCATACAACAGTCCCCATAGCAAAGAATGTCCTGCCCCAAAGTCACCAGTATGAGATCTGGAAATCCTGGCCTGGAAAATGGCAAGGACTCAGAAAACACAACCTGTGAAATGATCTTTCCTACTATAACAATAGCCAGTTGCAGTTCCTTTATCTCAAGGATAACCATCATCTGTGAATAAAACCATAAGAGATAAAAATGCATTACTCGCCGGGCGGTGGTGGCGCACACCTTTAATCCCAGCACTCGGGAGGCAGAGCCAGGTGGATCTCTGTGAGTTCGAGGCCAGCCTGGGCTACCAAGCGAGTCCCAGGAAAGGCGCAAAGCTACACAGAGAAACCTTGTCTCGAAAAATGGGGAAAAAAAAAAAAAAAATGCATTACTCACTCTGCTTCTTGTAATACTGGGTAATAGTTGTGTTATTTTGGAGACAGGAAGAGTCCGTTGCTTGGTTGATTCTGGGGAACGCAGTAATTTTATTAAATAAATCACATAGCAGAGCACCAGAACAGCGGTATAGAAAAGCTGAAACAAGAAAATAAAGGATTGAAATTAAATTGTTTTGATAAAAGCATAATTACAACAGGACTACAAATATTCTCTTCCAAGGTAAACAGAACTGTCTTAATGAACTGCACTTTCCAAAGAGCAGCACAGCATTCAACTCAAGCCTAGCTCCACAGCAGCACCTTGGTGCACAGACTCCAAACACTTCACTCTTGGAGAACAGAATCACCATGGCAGATGGCCACGCAGTAAACTGTGGCTCCAGGTGTCCTCACTGTGTTGACAGTCAGGAATCTGCCATCATTAGGACCGGGTTTTCCATAAACCGTGGAACCTGTGTCATTTATGATTACAAAGCAGAATTGGGCATTGGCTGTCTCCTCCCCACCTAGGACATTGGCAGGGTGACAGCTGCTTCAAGCTGCAGGAGGAAAAGGTGGGGTCGTAAGAAGGTCCACCTCACCCTCCACCCATCTGGGACAAAAGATCAGTTCTGGTCAGAAGCGGGCCATCTAGCTTTTGTTTGAGGGTTGGAAATGAGTATCCAAAGGGCCCTGTCACAGGCTCCCTTCTTCCCTCTTTCCCTTCTGAGAATGGCAACACCCCAGCTCAAGAACTAGGGTCACCAAGACCCTCTTTCTACCTGCCTGCATCAAGGCACCTCGTGTCAAAAGGCATGTGGTAGGTAAAAAGAGGAAACATGGTTTGGTGGGCTTAGTCTCCTAGGCACTCTACTCTCAACCATAAGCAAGGATGAAGCCTGCTATCCACCAGCCTTCAGGCCTCCAGCCCGTAAAGACAAGCAGTGTAGCTGTGAGCCACAGCAGCCAATACCCATGTCCTTTGTTATGAGTGCGCTCTTCCACCTCTCCACGGTTTCTGAAGACAGGGTACCACAGCCACAGGACCCTCCCTACTGTTTCCATCAGGAGAAAGTCACAAGATCAAAGTTACCATTTTAACTACAGGATTCAGTGACGTGCAGTACACTTACATTGTTGTAAAATCACCACTATCTGATTCCTTAATATTCCATCACCTCAAAACAAACTATTGACCTTTGAAGCAATGACTGCTCATTCCCCCCTCACTTAGCAACCACTCAACTGCCATGTCTGTGGACCTGCCTATCCTGGACATTATAGATCAATGGAATCATATAACTGCCCTGACCACTTCTTTCACTTAGTATGTTTTCAAGGTTTATATATATTGTAGAATGTATCAGTAGCTGTTTGTTCTTTTTTGTCTTGTTTTTTTTGTTTGTTTGTTTTTTTGGTTTTTCGAGACAGGGTTTCTCTGTGTAGCTTTGCGCCTTTCCTGGGACTCACTCTGTAGACCAGGCTGGCCTCGAACTCACAGAGATCCGCCTGGCTCTGCCTCCCGAGTGCTGGGATTAAAGGCATGCGCCACCACCGCCCGGCATCTTGTTTTGTTTTTTGAGACAGGTTTTCTCTGTGTAGCCCTGGCTGTCCTGGAACTCACTTTGTAGACCAGGCTGGCCTCAAACTCACAGAGATCCACCTATCTCTGCCTCCCGAGTGCTGGGATTAAAGGCATGTGCCACCACCACCCAGCAATTGTTTATTCTTACCACTGACCTCTGGCTGTCTTGGGATTCTGTAGACCAGGCTGATCTCAAACTTGCAAGGGTCCTACTGCCTCTGCCTCCAGAGTGCTGTGATCACATGCAGGCCATCATACAAGGCATGATGAATAGTATTCCATTGTATGGACACAGCAAAGTTTGTTTATCCAATTCATTAGCTGATGGGTATTTGGGATGTGTCTACCTTTTGGCCACTGTGAACAGTGTTATGAACATTCTCTTTGGTGTACACACTTAAGAGTGGAAATGCTGGGTCATATGATAGATCTGTTTAATTTTTTTTTTTAAGATCTGTTTAATTTTTAGAGGCACTATCATACTGCTTTTCATGGAAACTGAATTATTTTATGTACAGACCAGAAATACACTAGTTTCAATTTCTCCACAACCTTGCCTACATTTGTTATTCTATACCTAACAAAAGAAATACCCACCCTAGTGATTATGAAGTGACACCCACTGTGGCTTCTATTATTTGCTTGTTTGTTTTCAGTCAGATTTTCTCTATGTAGCCCTGATTGCCATGGAACTCACAAGGAAGACCAGGTTGGCCTTGAAGCCCCAGAGATCCACCTGTTTCTGCCTCCTCAATGCTGGGTTTGAAGGTCAGAACAGGCCCTCACTATGGTTTTGATTTGCATTTCCCTAATAATTATTGATCCTAAACATTTTTTCATGTGCTTTGTTGCCCATTTATTTTTATATATTCTTTAGGAAAACGTCTGTTCAAATTTTTTGCCCAGTTTTGAGCTGAGCGGCTTGTCTTCACTGTCGAGTATAAGTATTCTTATTTATTCTGAGGTGAGGTTTACGGGAAGTTTAAGGAAGACCTTGGAGGCAGGTTTGACAAGGGAACTCTCAGTGCCCTGGGCAGGGCTCACGTGTTGCTATGAACGGTGTCACTGGACCAAACACATCTGTCAGTGACTGTCCTGTGCAGCTCCTACAGGGCTCACGGTATGGAAACAAATACCTTCAGTTTCCTTTGCTCAACTATGACCCTATCATGGGTAGGAGCTGTGACATCAGAAACACACAGTGCCAAGTGCCTTTCCCATAGTAAGAGCCAATCATAGTGAGCATTTCTGAGGCCCTTCATCCTGCTAGAGAGAACACACAGAAACAAGGATAATGATGAAAACTATAGTTCTAGGTGCAGAAAGATAAGAAAAAAATAACTACAGAGAATTTGTCTAAACTATGTATCGATTTTCAAATTGGTTTTGTAGGCAATTTTCATTCTTAATTAATTTTAAATATAATTACTTTGTGTCCCATAAAAGTATCTGTAGTGTTCAGAGGACATAGGAAAGAAGGTCAAATAAATCATTACTAGGCAGCATCTTCACCTGCCTTCTCAAAGACTAATAAACATATAAACCAGAAATCCAGGCACAGAAGTTCATGCCTCTAATCCCAGGAGTTTCGAGGCTCATGTAGGGGTACCGCTCTAAGTTCAAGGCCAGGCTGGGCCAGTGTGAAACCCTGTCTCCAAAACAAAAACTACAAACAAACAAACAAATCAAAACACAGGAAAACTGACAAACTGAAGCCAGGAAAACTGTGAGTTCAAGGTTACACAGCAAGACCCTGTCTCAAAAACAAAAAAAAAAAAAAATAAAACAAAACAAAATAAAAAACCTACAAACCACTTTATATGTCTTTTTGATATATGGTAAATATCTGATCTTAGGCTTCATTTTTATTTACTTTAATTTTATTCGTTTTTATTTATTTACTTAGGTTTTTCAGACAAGGTCTCTCTATGTAGTCTTGAACTCTATGTAGGCACTGAACTCACAGAAATTCGCCTGCCTCTGTGTCTTGAGTGCTGGGATTAAAGGTGTGCACCACCATGCCCAGCTTTAGGCTTCATTTTTGAAAACAGTATTTTCACTCTAGCAGTATCTGTATTAGAGCTAGAACTAGGGACCTAAAATGTAACATGGAGCTAAAATGGCTGAAACGGAAAATGTACTTGCTTGGACTTGAGTCACTCTCTCTGAATTATGGGAGATTTCAATCTAAGTTTAAAACACACTCGGCAGAGTTTCCTCCTATTCTGCAAACCGCTGATTGAAATTCAAGGAAAATAATACACATACAATTTGATTCCCACCCCACCCCCTCATTTCCCACCCCCACCCAGCCCCTACTCCTCCATAAGACTATTATACAATCAAAGATCAGTTTGATATGGACCTGCCCACAGAATGTCTAAAAGGAGTTTTTGATGTGGACAATTGGAAAGTGTATGACCTTCCCCAGGTCCCTAAGGACACTAGTGGTGCCACTGTGTGAAACAGGATGGATATAGCAGCTGGAGAAGTGGTAGCCAGCCAAAATTCTGGAGTTTCCAACTGTCCCCACAAGTATGAATCCTGTGAGCATAAAACACATGCCAGTGGAACAAGAAGGGAAAACAGAAATGTCCATCATGTACAGAGTAAAGCATGATTCTCACCTGAGCCAGAGAAAAAATGTATAGACCCCAGTGAGGCAGCCACAGCACCAGAAAAGCTGTCAGAACACTCCGGAGGATAACTGACATGCTCTCAGCAAGTACCTGCACACAGAGGTAAAGGTGCAATATTATCGAAGAGTAAGCAGGAAAAGGCCTAGCAAGCACAGAATTCAGCATGGTGGTTACCCTGGAAGAGGGCATGGGGCATGTTTAGACATAAGCATCAATAGTAATGCTTTATTTCTTGGGATGGGTGGGTAGTTCATTCATCTTCAGTATGTTATGCCTTAAGATATAATACGTATATTTGCTACTATGCATTAATTAAATAATGTATTTTTGAAAAGGAAAAGAAACACCAATATTAGCATACAACTAAACAAGATCATTAAAAAAATCTGAAATATTTTATAGAGCTCCTAAATTTTAATTCTATTATCTTGCTTATTACAAAACCTGTTTTTCCCTTATAATATATATAGGTAACCCCCCCCCCATCCCCAGGGCTGTATGTCTGTGTTCAATGCATCCATATATGTGTGTGTGCACAGCAGGTACATTGTGTTGGCACATGGGGACCAGTGACCAAGGTCAGGTGTCTCCCTCTATGGCCCTCCACCTTATGTTTTGAGACAGAATCTCTCACTGGACCTGGAGTTCAGTGACTGGCTAGGCTGGCTGGACAGCAGGACCTAAGATCCTCCTGTCTCTGCCTCTCCAAGGCTGGGATTACAGGCATGGCTTATAATACGGGTTAAGGGACAGTAAGTCAGGTCTTCATTCTTGTACAGCAAGCATTTCACCGACTGAACCAGCTCCCTAGCACCCACCTGCTTTTGAGATAAAATCTTGTTATGTAGCCCAGACTAGCCTTGATATACCATCTTCCTGCCTCAGTCGCTGGAGTACTGGGATTGTATGTGTTCACCATCACGACTCAGTTGGCAGGAACAAACTTTAGCACAGCCTATCTGACAAACTTAAGATAACAAATGTATCACGTTACCCTTTTCTAATTAGTTCTCTACAATCAAATCTAGAAAAGTCATTCTCTCCTATAAAAAGCTTTCTAAAAATATCACACATCTGAAGGCTGGAGAGATGGCTCGGTGGTTAAGAGCACTGACTGCTCTTCCAGAGGACCCAGGTTCAGTTCCCGGCACCCACACAGCGGCTCACAACTGTCAGTAGCTCCAGTTCCCGGGGAACTAACCCTCTCTTCTGGCCTCCAGAAGCACCAGGCACCTAGCTAGTGCATAGACACACATGTATACAAAATACCCATACATATAAAAGTAAATAGATAGATAGATAGATAGATAAACAAACTGCAGTTCCAGGCATGCTGGCACACACCTTTAATCCCAGCACTTGGAAGGCACAGGCAGGTGGATCTCTGTCAGTTCCAAGCCAGCCAGGGCTACGTAGTGAGACTCTGACCAAAAACAGTCACTAATAACAACAAAACCCCACACTTTCCCTCACTGCTCACCTTTCCCATTCACAAGAAGTTCACTGACCTTGAGCTTGACAAACATATGTGCTTGTGCCAAGACCCAGAAAGGCTCTCCCACAAGTTCCACCACTGCTGAGAGACCAAAGAACACCACTCCAGCTCCATAGTAGGGGACCACATTTGGATCAGGCACTTCAAGCAACTGCAACCAGACCCAGCCCAAGAGTAAGGACCAAAATACACCCAGGGGGACACTAGAAGAATAGAAAAGATGTTTTTTAGTACACAAACTTTTGTCTTAAGTATAAAAATGCATTAAAATAGTAATATTGAGTGGAAATAATAGGCATAATAAAAATAATTTCCACAATAAGAAGCTGTTAGTAGGGAATGCAGGCATCACCCACATGCCTGGCTCTCTAACTGAACGCTTTATCTCACTGCACCTCACAGTGATCCCCAGTCATTATCCCCACTCAGAAGGAAACCGAGGCTGAAAGGGACTGGTAATTAGGCCAAGAACAGAAGCGGGACCCAATCCTGATCGAACTCCAAAGCCTGCACTATATCCACGGGCTTAGACTAAGTCCATAAGGAAAATTTCCAGAAACAACCTGTTTGTTGCCTGTGCGTAGAATGGCTGACAGATGTTATACAAATGGCTTTTGTACCCCAAATAACCAACAGTCCCCAGCATGGAACTCATTTCATGTGTGTATCCAGGGCACTTAAATATAACGCCACAGCTGGCAGTCATTTTGCTAACGAAATGAACACTTGCCGGCCCTTCTGACAGGCATTTCTGTGAGGCAACAGAGTTATGCAAGGGCGGCATTGGGAAACACCCCCACCACCAGCCTCTCAGCAGGGTTCTACTGAAGAAAATCATTCTAATTTTCAGCTGGCATACTTGGTCTACAAGAACATTCTGAAGACTTGAAGGAAGGTGTAAGGAAAGTCTTACCAGACCTTTTAAAATGCTAAAAACAAACAAACAAACAAAAAAAGTAGTTGCGAAAAGCTCAAAAGAAACTATAGGGCAAAGAGATTAGGAATAAAGAGTGGAGCAGGAAGCCAGGAACCCCCAAGCCCCACCCTGAACCCCCACCCCCTACCGGAGAGAAGACCAAGTAAGAAACATCTCCAACTCAGACAGACACTCTCCCTTCCTGCTGCTAAAATTATGACCCAAAACCCAGTCTGGAGACTGTCAGCTCTGGGCAGGATCCGTCATTTCACTGTAACACTCTTGGCATGTGTGTTCTTAGAACTTGTCATTTGCTAAAGTACAACTCACGTTAGCCACAGGAGGTTGAGGGTCTGACTCCAGTCCCGCTGGGCACCCCCACTCAGACAGGCTCTCCGGAAGGCTTCCCTGGCCAGGAAGACGGTTGTTGAGTAAAGCAGGGTTAGTCTACAAAGCAAATGTAGAATTGGTAAGGCTGCCAGGCTTGTCTTTAATTTGTTATTGAAAGAACCTTTAAGATTTTTCCAACAACAGGAACAAGAAAAGATATTGGTCATAAACCAATGGTTATCCTGTGATTCCAACTACATGGGAGGCTGAGGCAGGAAGACAAGTTCAAGGCCAGCCTGAACAACTCAGTGAGACCTTATCTCAAAATAAAAGTAGAAAGGAGACTAAGGATATGGCTCAGCCGTGCAGCACTTGACTAGCATGTGTAAAGCACCACAGAAGAGACAGAAGGAACCCCAAACCACAGATGGGATGTAGGGCTCCAATGTCTCTTACCAGACCCCTCCCCAAGTCCAATCCACAGGGCAGAGTTAGGACCCAAACAAGGCACACTTGACGCTGTGTGTCCACAGCTACATCTGAGGTGGAAAGTGTGGCAGTGACCTGAGGGTCTGCAGCCTTATGGCTGTGGGCAGAGGTGTGGTCCTGGCCACAAGGAGGAAAGGAGCAGCTTATCACCACTCATAGCAAGGGGACCTCCTAATGACACTGGAGCCTCTGTGCAGAGGTTCCATCACAAGGAGGTGCTAGTCAGAGTTTCAGGACAAACAGCAAAGTAGGCAGCCATTAGAGGGTGCCGCAACCCCCATTCAGAGGGATCTGCCTGAGTACCGCACACCCAGAGAAAAGCAGCTGGTTTACCTGCCTCTACAGCCAGCGGCCTGAGGAGGCTGTTAAGTGCATCCTGCTCCCCATAGCCCATCCAACACTGCAGGTGAGGAGCCAAAGCTGCACCTTGAACAGTGAGGAAGAGCAGGCAAAGACTGGCAAGGAGGCCTTGACAAACCTGGCAGTTTGGGGGAGAACGCATGGGGAGAAAACTCTGCTCCCTCCTTTCTGCTTTTTCAACAGCATCTCTCTGCTTCACCACTGCCTCCTGAGACTGTGAACCCTACCTGGCACAAAGCTCCAGGTGACTGCTCTGCCAATCCCAAATTGGAGAACTGCCATTAGGCTCTTTGAAAAATGTTGTGAAGTGTTTGGTTGGTAAATACCAGGCATGAAATTCTGTCTCGAACATACTGTCTTGTTTATCAGGATATGAAGACACACCTGAGAAGCTGAGCTATTCTAAGACATCATTTCATTCGTTTTTGTGTCATTTGGGAAGACAAAGTAAGTGTGGGTGTCGTCGAGCAGAGAAGACACACGCTGAGTCTAAGACAGAACAAGGTCACTTTCCACAGAATCAATCACAAGGATTCAAGCTCTGATCCCAGCTACAGGATCTCAACTCCAAAATCACTGAGGCGGAAGGAAGTGAAGGTGGCTGGCTGTTCCAGCCCTGCAATTATGAGGCACATCCTCACGAACTACAGAATTCTTGCTTCCTGTGCTGTCAGCAGGACGAGAACACTGGATTATACCTGAGACAGGGTTTGCAATGAGTTACTCCCACTCTTCTCCTGGGTTCTAAGAGCAGAAAAACCGGAAGAGCTGGGGGAGAAATGTGCATGTGGAGGCTGCTAATGGAAAACGCTGCATGAGTCCATTAAACACAGCAGGGCCCTCTCATCCCCCACCCTGAACTTCTCTTCAGCCCACTGCTAAAAGGCTCTGCTACTGGGAAAGGTATATGATTCTAAAATCTGAGGGTGGCACACGGGTACAATCTGAGAAAAACTGTGATTCGTAATGAGAGTTGTGGACAGGGCCAGGGTGCGTTCCTCTTACCTGACATTCACTATGCCCACGATCTCCTTTGACAGGAAGCGAAGAATAAATGCATTCAAGACAAAGGTGATTAATCGAAACAATACCTGGAAGACAATACATGAGTTATGGTGGGATTTACTGAAATGAGGACCAGGTTGCTGTCCTTCCCAACATGATAACACACAGCAGCTCTGCTATGGAGACTCTTCTCCAAGATTCTCACTTACCTCACCTGGTTTCTGTGAACTGGAATTCCTTAAAGGCTCTCACCATCCTGAGCAGTGGGCAAAGAACCCAGGAAGCTATTTGGGAGTTTCCCTTATTTACTAACGGGATAGAGAAACCTGGACAAATTGAATCTTCAAGCTCAAAGTCAAGGAGACAGACACAACTGCAATCATGGCTCACATTATCCAGGGCCCTTCCTAATACCTTCTCCAGACGTACTCAGCCTACAGCCAATGGGCCACTGGAGTCCCAAGATAGCTAGAGATGCTGCCCAACACACTTCTGGATGACAACGTCAGAAGACTGGCCACTCCCAAATCCCATTTAGAAACTCAACACACAGAAACAAGAGCCTACAGAGTAGTAGAATAGGCTCACTAGAAATCTGGGATCTAATTTCTTTCTTCTCTGCCTGGAATATCTAGGGAATTCCAAGGACATTTAATCTTTTTGAAATTTGATTTTCTTAGTTACACAGGAGAAATACTATGTTTATTGAATACTCCCTTTCCAGAGAAGAGTTGATGCAACTTTTCAATAACAATTGTAGTAATAAGATAATGTAAAATGGGAGTGGGAAAACAGGCTATTGCCATTTAACAGGGACACATTCTAAGACTTTCAAACCTGTCCATTAAAGAAAACCACCTAGGAGCTGGGCAGGGCAGGACAGTGGTGGCTCACACCTTTAATCCCAGCACTTGGGAGGCAGAGGCAGGTGGATCTCTGAGTTTGAGGCCAGTCTGGTCTACAGAGTGAGTTCCAGGACAGACAGCCTAGGCTACACAGAGAAACCCTGCCACAAAAAGCAAAAAAAAAAAAAAAAAGAAAGAAAGAAAAGAAAACCAAGAACCTACAATTAAATGGGGCTCCCAAATGGAGCTGTTGAATAGGATGTAAGTCTCACTCATGGTCTCTCCTCATTCCAGTCACAAATGACAAATCAATTCAGTGTTAAGTTGCTCATGGTTACTCATATATACATGGCTGCCATTTTGGAAGAGCCAATCAGTGTAGACTAGAGGATTACTATGGTCTGAAAATCTCTTGGCCATTAACACTATTCCTAAAGTATTACCAGTGCCAAGATTATCACCATGTTTATGGAGCCACAGATGATCTTTTCTATCTGACAGAAGCTCTGTAGACTCTTAGAAACATGTCAGTTCATATATATACGCCAAATTCTACACTCAGTGCTGGTGGCGGGAAACCAATTCATAGACTTATTAAAGTCCTCAGCTGAGTCTCAACCCATCACTTAGCTCTTAAATGCATGCATCATCTTCTAATTTTTACAAGCCTCAATCTTCTCTGTCAAGTGAGGCTAAATATCTCATAAGGTTGATTACAAGACTAAAATAAGATTATAGAAGTGAAAGCATTTTTAATGTATAAATTAAAGGTAATAAAAATGTACCCTGTGACTGGCTCAGAATTAAGACTCACAAATTACATAATAAAATGCAGTTGCAAAGCTACCATAAGTATCAGCAATATAACTTAAGGAAGCATAGAAGACTGAACTAAAGCAACCAAGGAATTGTATTTTATGACTATTCTAAAAATCCATATATACAATTATAAAGCCCATCATTTTGTACAACATATATGCTGATGACAAATTGTACATTTGCCAGGCGGTGGTGGCGCACGCCTTTAATTCTAGCACTCGGGAGGCAGAGCCAGGCGGATCTCTGTGAGTTCAAGGCCAGCCTGGGCTACAGAGTGAGTTCCAGGAAAGGCACCAAAGCTACTCAGAGAAACCCTGTCTCAGAAAAAAAAAAACCAACAACAACAACAACAAAAACCATGTACATTTAGAAAGTTATTATTGTCCAAGACACTTAAGGTCATATCAGTATCTTCTAATTGTTCTGAATAAAGGTTTGGTCTAATAAAGCTAATAAAGTTTCCTAGGGCTACCCTTTGTTTTAAAGCCACCCAGTGGCCCTTATTAGCAACATACCTTGCATTTACTTTCATAAAGGACTTCACATTTATAAAAGCTTTTTTTTAAAAAAAAAAAAAAACAACCTCACAGCATTTATTGTCACCTGATAATAACATAAGGGCTACTAAAACAATATGAATAAATCTCGGACTGTGCTCCCAGCAGCAGACACCTTTAAAAACACTACATGTCCTCTTCAACCTCTTCAACTTCTCGAGTGCTTGCCAGTTTCTAGTTGGAAACACTCTGGAGCCGAGTAATATTGTCTCCTTTCAGCATGATCCCACCCAGTTGTTTCCTTGACTTTGTTTTAGAGTGAATTTCTTCTGCGTCATCTAATACGAGTTCATGTACTCATCAAAGCCAACAATACAACCCTCTATCCGCATATTCACTTGCTCATACAGCCAGACCTGAATCTGAGACCTATTTTGCAAGTATCTGAAGATGAGGTTGATGGGCTGCACCATCACCTCCTGCACCTTCTGGCCCTGGCCGCGGTACGCCATGGTGGAAATCACAAAGACCACACGGGTAGGAAGACCACCTGGGAAAGCCTTATAAAAGCTTTTACATTTGTTAATTATTTGACCCTTAAAAACAACCAAGCGGGCTACTCATGGTGGCACAAACCTTTAATCCCAGCATTCGCAAGGCAGAACTAGGCCAGCCTCTTTGAGTTTGAGACTGAGACCAGTCTGGTCTACCTGGAGAATTCTAGTCTAGCCCGAGCTCAATAGTGAGACCCTGACTCAATAGCAAAACAACAACAAAAGCCAACCAGGGCTGAAAATACAGCTCAGTGATAAGACTTGCTTAGAGCATGTGGTGCTCTAGGTTCAACTCCCAACACCAAACAACAACCAGGCAAACGTGCCCGAAGCAAAACACAGAATGAAAGGATCCGCCTAATAACAAACAGCAAACAAATGGCCCAGTTCAATTTTACAGTTAAGTCATTGGACTCCTACTCCTGCGTGTCTTCTATAACCTGTTTCTTTTCTGTATGGAAAAGGAAACACTATGTGTAACACAACAGAAGTCATGTATACTGTGAAATGGGGAAACAAGAGCAGGAGGGGGGGGGGGTCTGTGGTTGGTATGTAAAAAGAAGAGAAAATTCATTATTAATAAAAAGGAAAAAAAAGGATGCAATGATCCCAAGGACACTATGCAGGCAGCTTTTTCTCCTGCCTGCCTTCAGCCAGAATCACATGGTGATAATTTTCTCCTCAGTGTAATCAAGTCTCTGGGAACAGAGTTTCATACCTGTGTCTTAATGGGCACTACTTCGAAGGACATAAATTATTTAAGCATTTAAGACGTGGAAATAATGGATTTTTTTGTTTGTCTCATAACCCAATAAAACCATGTTGACAAAGTGGAAAAAAAAGAAAAAGAAAACAAAGAACTAGACAAATGGAGTTAAACAGAGTAGCCAACATTCATTCAGCACATAGGTGTGCAAGTGTTTTTCTATATCCTTTACGTAGCTTACCATATTTCATCCCTACACTGCATTCACAAACTTACCACACTAAGAGAAGCGGCTAACATTGAGAAGCACCCTGTAATGTGCCAGGACATAACAGGACTTCATCTCATCTTCCTAAGGACCCTGTAAGGCTGTATTACCGCTCTCATTCGAAATGAGGACGCTGCTGGGGTGGTGGTGCATGCCTGTCACCCCAGCACTTTGTAAACGGAAGCAAGAGTATCAAGAATGCAAGACCAGCCTAGGCTACATAGCAATACCTTTTCTCAAAAATAAAATAAATTAAAAAAAAATTAAAAAGCCAGGAGTAATGGTACATGCCTATAAACCCAGCACTCAGGAGGCAGAGGCAGAATAGATCTCCAAGTTCCAGGCCAGCTTGGTCTAGACAGTGAGTTCCAGGACAGCCAGGGAGGCATAGAGAGATCCTGTCTCAAAAACAAACAAACAAACAAACAAAAAACAACTTGATGCTCAGAAAAAGCCAAGCAATTTTATTTTGCTTTAGCTTTTTTTTTTTTTAATTTTATTTTTTATTTGAAACAGGGTCTCGACATATAGCCTTAGCCTAGCTGGAGCTCAACTGGCCTTGAACTCACAGAGAACCACTCACCCCTACCTCCTGAGTGTTGGAATTAAAGGCCACTGTACCTAACCCAAGTAATTCTTATCTTAAAAACAGTCATCTAACCTGTCTAACTCGGCCAGGTTCTCTTTCCTAACCTCTTGGTGCCTAAGATAATGGTGAAGGAAGATTCTGGACTCCTGTGCAGTTGGATGGATAAGCTGGAGAATAAGGCATTGAGAAAAACGGGGAATTTGACTTAGAAGAATTGACTAGTAGGGCAGAAAGAATCTTTAGATACTATTTGGATCACTGGTTCTCAACCTTCCTAACACAGCAACCCTTTAATACAGTTCCTTGTGTTGTGGTGACCTCCCCCCAACCATAAAATTATTTTCATTGCTACTTCATAACTGTAATCTTGCTACTGTTATGAATCGTAATGTAAATATTTTTGGAGATAGAGGTTTGCCAAAGGGTTTGACCCCATTGGTTGAAGACCGCTGATTTAGATGAACTGACAAGTGTCATCTGAAAAAAAAAAAAAAAGTCACAAATAGCCTGTCCAAGGACACACAGAAAATGCAGTTTATTAAGTGCACACTAGGATTGAGGTACTGTACTAAGTGAGCTTATTCAAATGATCCCAAAGAATACTTGCAAATTGCTTTCTGAATTAGATACTATTGTCCTCATTCTGTCAACAAGTAGCTAAGGTTGCGGAGCTGAAGTGATTTGTTCTGGGTCACGCAGCAAGTACTGCCTGAACCCAAATCCCTGTTCTTAGCTATGCCATATGGTCTCTCTAAATTCAATGCGAATCAGAACTGATGAAAGGTGTTTGATAACCAAGAATGGAACACACAAGAAATGAACCCCTTAAAGTCTCAGAATCTTGAGCACTAAGTAGCCTCTGCTTCTACCATTTGATTGACCTGTCTCTTACTGCTACATGAAGTGCAATCTTCAGAAAGGAAACAGCATGTTTGTAGTCATTCAGTCAAGACTCCGACCGCAGTCTCCCAACTCCTAGACCCGCCGCCCCTCCCCGCCGCGTGGTTTCCTATGGAACCCCCGGTAGCGCGGGGAACCCAGGACAGCTTCCCCTCGAGGTTTGGGGGCGGAACCACGCGCTGGAGCTGGCACAGCAGAATACCTGCAGCAGGAGACCCGAGGAGGCCAAGCGGGCTGCCTGGCCCAGCACCTCTTGGCTACCCATGGCCTCAGTGCCACGGTTCAGAGGCGGAAACGCAGCTCGCGCCCGCTCCGACGCGGAAAGATGGCGTCACGGACAGGCTCGCTCCTGATTGGGGACTTTGACGGCGGGGGCGGGGCACAAGAAGCTGCGTGTCCAAGCAACTTGCTAGGCTGTCTTAGTCGCGTTTTGCTCTTGTTTGGTTTTGGTTTTTTTTTCATTTTCTTTTTCTTTCTTTCTTTTTTTTTTTTCCTTTTTGTTGTTGCTGTTGTTGTTTCGAGAGTGTTAAACTTCGGACCCTGTAGTCCATGTCGGCCTAGAACTTGCAGCAGGACGCTGGGATTACTGGGGTGCATCCCCAGACCTAACTGTTGTCTTTTGGTTTGTGTGTTGGTTTTGGCTTGATTTTTTTTTTTTTTTTTTTTTGAGGTAGCGTCTCATTATGTAGCTCTGGCTAGCCTGGAACTCGATGTGTAGACCGGGCTTGCCTCGAACTCAGTGATCCACTTGCCTCTGGCTCCCAAGTGCAGGGATTGCAGCTGTTATTTTGAAATAAGGTCTTGCTGTGTAGCCAGGGCTGGCCTGGAATTCACTGACAGAGTCTAGGATGGCCTTGAACTCCTGATCCTCCTGTTTCCAGCTCCCAGGTGATGAGATTCCAATAGACCACCGCACCAAGCTGGCATCTTCTTTGTTTGTGTTTTGGTTTTCTACCTAAATATTTGTTTATGGATAGTGTAGGTGTGTGTATATCAGAGAACAACTCTCAGGAGTCCGTTATATCCACCTTTGCATGGGTTCTGGGATCAAACTCGGATGGGCAAGTTTATATGGCAAGCACTTAACCTGCAGAGCCAATTTGCTAGCCTGTTTAATGTTCTTCCCTGCCCCACTCCCTAGTACTGGGGATTGAACCTAGGGCTTCGTTCGTGCAAGGCAAGTGCTCTACCACAGAGGTTACAGCCCCTGCCCTCTCTTTTGGATGAAAGTTGTTTCCTTTTATGAATGTGTCTCTCTTGCAAATAAATCAAATTCTGTGGCCAGTCTTAGAAGATGGTGTCATAGGCTGAGAGTGGTTACTTAACATTCATGAAACCCTAGGTTCATTCCCAGCACCACATATTCCTACCCTGGTGGTTTATACCTGAACTCCAACACACAGGGTGAAAGCTGGAGGATCAGAAGTTCAAGGTTATCCTTAGCCAGCCTAGGCTACAGAAGACCCTGTCTCAAAACAAAGCGAAGAAAAACAAACCATGGTGTCAGGGGAACAAAGCACTCAGCAGAGATTCATTAGTCTGGCCATTGGCTCTCACACAAATATATTCACAGCACCCTTCCCCCAGTTAGGCTGAACAGGACTTCTCCCCATTTTGCAGAGGAAGAACTGAGGACCGAAAGTTGGACACAGCGTTTTCATGTATGTGATTTTGTAGAGACCTTCCCAAAGCTCTGATACTTGGGCCCAGTTGTCAGAGAGGAGGAAAGTAAGCCTTGGAGGTATAATATGCCTTGTTCAAATCCATCCACACAGCACAGGCCTGGGCAGAATGGATCAGAGTCAAAGAACAGACTAGAAGCACTTTATACACTTTTTGCAAAGTCTCCAACATACATGATCATCTTTTTCTAACCTCTTAAGCCTTCCTTGGTCTCAACTTCTTTTCACATTTCACATCATCACTATATCAGTACATTTTAGATCCTCCAATTTGGAGCGCTTAATCACAACACTCGGGAGGCAACCATATCTTTGTGAGTATGAAGCTAGCCTGGTCTACATAGCAAGTTCCAGACTAGGCAGGATCACATAATGAAATTCTGTCTCAAAACAAACGAACAAATGAAAAACCTGGAACCCTTACCATTCCTCCAAGAGGCCCCGTCTGGTTTTTCTTAGTTTCTGTCACCTTCTCTGCCTAAATCTCTTCCCTGGCAGTGCTTTTTGCCTTCCTAGGGCTCTGATCCTGACTCCTAAACTACCTATAGTCAGTACTTGCTATGGACTAAATGTCTGTGTCTCCTCAAAATTCATGTAATGAGTGGTCGCATTAGGAGAGTACTTGGGAAGTAATTAGGCCACCAAGGTGTAGCCTTTATGGCGGGACCAGTGGCTGTATGAAGAAGCTATTTGAGGGATGGGGCTCAGAGATACAGTGCTTGCCTGTCATGTGCATACACGTGGTTTGACCCTCAGCACCTAAAAAAATGTATTTGAGAGAAATGGTTTCTCTGTTCATTGTGAAAGGACACAGCAAGAAGCTGGCCATTTACAAACCAGGAAGAGTCCCCTCACCAGAACCAAACCGGCTGGCACCCTGATCTTGGACATCTAGGCTCCAGGATTGGAGAAATAAATTTCTGTCATTTAAGTGTCCCAGTCTATGATATTTTGTTACATCAGCTCAAGCTGACTATGATAGCGCCTTAAAGCACTTTGTACTCGTGTATAGATCTTTGAATAGTCTGTATTACAGTGGAGAGATGAAAATATGCATCTCTATTTAACTGGCCTGGGAGCTTCAAGTAGGCAGGAGTCAGCCCAGCAGGATTTGCCTGCTACAGTACTGGCAGAGAACATTCCTAAACTCTCATAAATGTCTCCTGGCATACCATTGTTGCTACTGCAGCTGAACTGCATGGCTCAAAGCCCCTGTGTCCTCATCTTCTCAAATGAAATAAGCTCTGTAGATGGTTGAGACTCCGAACATGAAGTCTTGACCATCAGACAGACTTACCCTTGAATCCCCATTCTGCCACTCACTAACCGGGTGACCCTCTATGTGCTGACTGTTCTGAGTGGAGATATTAGGATTGGGCTTATAGTGCAGTAGTACAGTGACTGCCCAGCATTCGTGAAGGCCTGGGTTTAAGCCCCAGAGTCTATGATATTGATCTAGGGATAGATGTAGACATAAATATCGACATCATCTGTCCTGTTAAGGTAGATATAAGAATTTTAGTAGACAAGTTTGGCCCACAAGGATCTTAAATTCTACTGGGAGACAGACAACAACAACAACAACAACAACAAAACCTGGAGAAAAAAAGCCATAAAATACCAAATCAGAATCAATCACAAAAGAGTAAAACAGACTCCTTGAGAATTCAAGACTACACACAGTGATCACGAAGACAGCTCCTGCCGGCTTCCTCAGGTTTCCTCCCTTCCACTGGCTTCTGTGCCAGGCGACCTCCCTGCCAGGGAAAGCTGATGTGAGCCTCCAATTTCATTACTAAACTGGTGGGAGGTGCCAGGGCTGATGCTAAGCCAGTTGGACTTCCAGGGCAATGGGGCAGGATGGGAGGCTGCCACTGGGTGGAAGGCAGAGTAAAGGTTCAGCTGAGTGGAGGCACCAGGGCTAGGTCATAACAGCCACTAGGTGGCATGGCTTGCTGGGTGAGGGCCCTTCTAGACCAAGGCTTCCTGCTGTCCAGGAAACCTTCAACAGGGCTCCTCCTTGAAACAGAACATCAGCACTCTGCCCCTCACTTGAAAGTGGGGCAGGAGAAGGCCGCTGTGATCCTAACGGTCCACATTGTTGAGTCTACAGAGCAGCGTGCTGGATCCTGTACTTTCATGATCACACTGAACTCCTCTAGCAGTCCAACAAGACCGTTGTCCCCTCTATTTTACAGACCAGGAAACAGACTTGGCAAAGGTCAGGGATTTGTTGGAGGAGTAGTGATTGGAAGTGCCAGAATGTGAACTGAGCAGTATGGCTGTCAGTCCCATAATCAAGATTACACCAGAGGATTGACCCATTGTCGCTTCTGATTCCTGGGCTCCACTTCGGCAGCTATGATTCGGGAAGGGTTCTAGAATCTGCATTGTTTTTTGTGGTGTTTGTCTGTTTGTTTTGCCTTTGGCACAGAGTCTTACTCTGTAGCCCGGGCTGTCCTGGAACTTACTATATTACCTTGATTGGTTATGATGTACTGGACAAAACTCTGGGAAGTACTGCCTGAGGGTGGATCTTCAGGCACCTTGAGAAATCTGCTCCAGTGGTCTGGAGCATCTGTCTGCCCAAAGTGGGCAAAATGAGTCCTGAGATCTGTCATGGGCTTGTTCAACCCCCCAATCGGCCATGCTCCTGGGGCTAGTGGTCAGGATATCAGTGCCTAGAGACAGTGCCTAAATGAGAGTCTTAGAGAACATCTGTGCCAGGAATTATGCACACAATAGTCCCTGGCTCCCAGGTCTTTCTATGCAGTGGTGTGTGAAGCTTGAAAAGCAGCCATAAGACCCTGGTTTTGCCTGGCTCCTCTGAAGATTGATTTGTGCAGAGTAGCCTGCAATACCCACGGTATCAATATGGCTCATTCCAGATCTAGTGCTCTGAAGTGGGCATTGGAAGGGGCACAAAAGCAAATCAGCCAATATTACCGCCCTCTCGGGGCTCAGGGGCCTCTCTTGGGAAAAACCCAGAGTGAGAGCAGGCAGACTGAGGTGCTAAAAAGTTGCAAGGGAAACACAGGGACAGGAGTGGGTGGAGAGATGTTTCTGCTGAAGCATCAAGGAAGATTCCCTTCAGGGGGTGTTTTTGAAGGATTAGAGGGACTGATCAAACAGAGGGACATGTAGGGCAGAGAAAGCAGAGCCAGTGAAGCCCAGAGGAGGGTACTTGCTGAGCCTGTGGGTGGACCCAGGAGTTGGCTGTGGCTACCTCTTGGTGCAGAATTCTTGTACCCACCAGCCTGTGGCCAGTGTTGAGCTGGCAGCCCTGAGAACAGCAAGTCCGTGAGGGTGAACACAAGCGTGTGGATGAATACAAATTAAGGGCATGGTGGTGCACATTCGTAATCCCAGCAGTCGGGAGGATAAGGCAGGAGGATTTGCTGTGTGTTTGAAGGAACCTCAGCCGTTTAGTGAGACCTTGTCTCAAGAAACAAAATCAGGGCTGGAAAAATGGTTCAATGGTTAAGAGCACTTACTGCTCTTCCAAAGAGCCTGAGTTCAATTCCCAGCACCCACATGACAGCTCACAATTGTCTGATGCCTTCTTCCGGTGTGCAGATATACTTGTAGACAAAGTACCCATATACATAAAATACATAGATAAATAAATC